ATGCTGTAAAACAGGATTGACATAGGGGTTCGGAGGACACTGAGAAAGATGGGCTAAATTATGTATACTGCATTGAAACTGATGAGGGAGAAAACTGTTTAAAAGAGATATGATTAGGTATTATTGTCATAACAGGAGCCCAGAATTGAAGACTGCATAGTGGAGTGGACTTGGGGGGGAGGGATTGTACAACAATGAAAGAATTTTTCTTTTACTTTTCAAAGACAAGAGCAAATAGGGGGTGAGGTGTGGGCAAGGAGAAAAGTGCAACAATGAATGAATGGAAATCCAAAGTCTCTGTAAATTTTCATTAAAATTAATAATAATTGAAAAAGAAAAAAGGTTATTATAATGACAGATAAGAAAAAAACCAAAACAGATGTTAGAAGAGACCCTGAAAATTACATTAGAGTATCAAGAAGCCAAAACAAAAGGATGAGACACTGAAGTAAAAGAGCTCAACAGATTTTAAAGGGCTGCTTGAAAAGACAAAGCAAAATAGTCTAACAAAATGTGCAAAGAGATAGAGTCAAAGAATAAGAAGGGAAAGAACTTGGTTGGCACTTCTCATGCTGAAAGAACTGAAAAACAAATTCAAGCTTTGAGCTGCAATACTGAGAGATGTTATGGGCAAAATCTTAAAAAAATCCAGGAAATATCAAAAGAAGATAGAAGGATGCTTCAACGATTTAGATACTCCCAGAAGAACTGTGGGTGAGCATTAACATTACTGGTAAGTATATTCATTTTCTCCTGGACACAGAGCCTACTAATTGGTCCTAAACGCCTTCTGAGGTCCCAACTCTTCTCACTATTCTTAGTTGTTGGAATGGACGGAAAACCTCATAAGCAGTTCCTTACTTCACCTCTGCCTTGCATGCGGACTTCCGAGTTGTAAAACAACCCAGTGGTAGATGGAATTTGCTCCAGGACTTAAGAACAGTAAATGATATAGTTGAGCCTCTACATCTTGTGGTTCCTAACCTCTACACTATAAAGACAAAGTGCTAGTCAATAGGCCTTTTATTGTAAGAACCACCTTCCCTCTGTAACTTGATTTATGCCACTATTAGAACCTCTACTTGGAATATTATTGCTTTTTAATTTTTGACTCACGTACTTTTAACTTGTAAGTTAAATTTGTGTCTTCTAGACTGCAACACTTCCATGATACATCTTCAAGGATATGAACATGTACGGCTAAGCACAATTGATAACAGTGTATCTAAATTCCAAAATCAATCTCCATAATAGTCTATGTGTTTCCTACTGCCAAAGGGGCCCTTTAGAATAGTGAGAGAAGATCTTCACCCTGAAACCTACAGCGTCCCTTTTCAGCAGGAAGTAGCTAAGAGAATATGACATCCCCTTTTCCTTATGAATCAGGGTGAAGTCTCTCTCAGGGAGGAGTGATAGGGAATGGCAAAGGACACACTGACAAAGGAGATTAATCAGAACTGGCTTTGACAAGCACTGTGGCAACTGGACAATTAAAACAGACATTCAAGAGGGGAAAAAAAAGAAGAACGAACTGGGGAGGAGGGTAGAGAAAACAGTGCGACAATGAATGAATGAAAACCCAAAATCTCTGTAAATGTTCATTAAAACTAATAAAATTTAATAATAATAATAAAAGATAGAAGGAATACACAGAGTTAACTATACCAAAAATAATAGGTCAATACTGAAAAATTTCAGTACCATATGAACAAAAGCCAATGGTAATAAAGGAAGTAGTTCAAGCTGTGTTGAAGGCACTGGCAAAAATTAAGGCCCCCGGAACTGACGAGACATTGGCATGTTTCAACAGAGCCAACCTTAACGTGCTCACAAGTTTATGCCAGGAAAACTGGAGCACAGCTGCCTGGCTGGCTGACTGGAAGAAATCATCATTTGTTCCCATTTCCAAGAAAGGTAACCCAGTTGAGTGTGGGAAATTATAGAACATCATTAATATTATATGTAAGCAAATATTGCTGAAGATCACTCAAAAATGTCTAAAATAGTACACTGACAGGAACTACCAGAAGTTCAAGTTGCATTTAGAAAAAGCTGTAGCACAAGGGATATCACTGCTGACATCAGATGGATCCTGGCTGAAAAGAGAATGTTTATTTGTATTATTGACTTTGCAAAGGCATTTGACTGTGTGGATCACTACAAACGATGGCTAACATTGAGAAGAATAAGAATCTCTGAACAGTTAATTCTGCTCATGCAAAATCTACCCCTAGACCAAGAAGCTGTTGTCCAAAGAGAGCAAAGGAAAAACACTGTGGTTTAAAATCAGGGATGTTTACTTTTTCCGTACCTGTTCAATCTGTATGCTGAGCAGATAATTCATGAAGCTGGACTCTATGAAGAGGAATGTGGCATCAAGATCCAAGGAAGACTCAGCAACATAATGTACATTATGCAGAAACAATTTTGCTTGCTATAAGTGAGGAGGACTTTCAATATTTGCTGCAGAAGATAGAAGACTACAGTCTTCAGTATGGGTTACATCACAACATAAAGAAAATACAGGTCCTCACTACTGGGCCAATAGTTAACATCATGATAGATGGAAAGAAGACTGATGGTGTCCATGATTTCCTCTTGCTTCAATAAAAAAATCACCAGCAGTCAGGAGATCAGGAGATGTATTGAGCAAGACTGCTAACAGGACCTCTCCAAAATATTGAATAGCAATGATGTCAGTATGAAGACTAAGGTGCATGCCTGATTCTGGCCAGGATCTTTTCAATCACTTGCTATGCATCTGACAACTAAAGATGAATAAAGAAGAATTCATGTTGTGACGCTAGAGAAAAGTACTGAAAATCCCATGGATTGCCAAAAGAACAAACAGGTATGTCTTAGAAAAAGTGCAGCCAGAGTGCTCTTTGGAGGCAAAGATGGAGAAGCTTCATATCTCATACTTGGAGTATGTTGCTGTTGTTTGTTGTTGTTAGGTGTCATCAAGTTCAATACGACCCATAGTGACCCAATAAACAAAAGATCAGAACCCTATTCTATCTTGCACCATCCGTACACTTTCTGACATACCAGAGCCCAATGCAAAAGTCACCATGTCAATCCACCTAGCTGAGGGTCTTCCTCTCCTTCACTGAACCTCCACGCTTCTCAGTATCATGTCCTTCTCCAAGGAATAGCCCCTAAGGTGCATGTGACTCAGGCTATAAGCTTTCAGATTACTTGTTAATGCACCTAAGAACTGGACAATGAAAGGATGACAGAACTGACGCTTTTGAGCCGTGGTGTTAGAGAAGAGCACTGAACATCCCATGGACAGCCAGAACAAAAGGATATGTCTGGGAGAAAGTGCAGCCCGAGTAGAGCATGTTGCTAAGAGAGGCTAAATCCTGCAAAAGAGCATCATGCTTGGAAAGGCAAATGATCAGCAAAAAAGAAGATTCTCCAACAAGATAGACTGACGCGTAATTGCAGCAATGGGTTTATGTGTGTCAGAGACAACGATGATAGTGTAGGACAGGTTTCAGATCTTGGTTCATAGTCACTATAAGTTGTAACTGACTTTATGACACCTAACAACAACAACAATGGCAGGACATGAGGACCGCCCCACTCACAGCACCCTTCGGCATTGCACTTGGTGATTTCCACTTCATCAACGCTCTGGTGGCAATATCCATAAGAAACTGTGTCACTAACCCAAAGGCCTAGCCAATGTTTGCACTGGAGAAAGACGAGCAATCTCCTTTAGTGAGATTTACAACCTCTAAAAAACAGTAATGGGTCAGTTATGAGTTGATTTCAACTTGAAGGTAATGAGTTTGATTTTTTCCACCCTGTTGCTATCCTACATCACAGAGTTATGTTTACAAACTGCTAACAAGACACAAAAGTATAATCTGATCCTGTGGGAACAAATCCCTGGATTCCCTCTGACATTATACAAATTTAGTCTACTTTGGTATTTCTAAAATTGTGGGACTCCAAAATTGAAAGCAGAAAGTCAATGAGGGAAAAGTAAGGGACTCAGAAGGCCCCTAATGATGTCTACACAGTTGAGTGGAATTTGGTTCTTGGTTTATAGTGAATGAGATAAGCAATGTTCAAGGATAAACCAGAGATATTCTCCTGGCAGACCTCTGACTTCTTGAATATTATCATTCCTAAGAAGTCAGGAAGCTCCAGTTAATTTAGATCTCTTAAAGAGAAAAGGGTTTTTGAAAGACACAAGTAAATTTGTTTTGTTCCTCTCTCTCAATGCCCTTGAGTTGGAAATGACTCATACAACTGACCCTCCATTGAATTTCAGAGGCTATAAATCATATGGAAGAGATTGCCCAGCTTTCTCACTTGAAGCAGCTGGTGGATTTGAACTACCTGGTGTTGGGTTGGCAGAGCAACTCCTTACCCACAAGGTCACAAGTTCCTCAGATGAGGTGCTAATCAAATTGGTGGCCTAATCTGTGGGTTTCATTGCCAACCCAAAGGTCGAGCCTTTCTGGTTGTCTGAGTTAACCAATGGCTGCACAGGGGAGAGTTGGGCAATCTCCTCCTGTGCCTCAGAAACCTGATGGAGGGTCAACAATGTAAAGGGTCCTATTCAACAGCATAGACTTTGGTCCTTACACAACTCCAGCTGTGACTCTAACACCAGCAGCTGCATTAGTCATAGCTTAGCCCTTAAACTGTATTTCTCCTGTTCCAAGAAGAGAAACTGAGTCATCACATTATCAACTGGCGTCCCCAAACACAAAGTTAGTTTGTAATGAGGCGCTCCCTACTTGAACCCAGGATTCCTCCTTCCTCTTGTTCACTTCTTCTCATGGGCGAACCTAGTATGGCCACCCCTGCTGTTCTTCTCCCTTCAACCTAAAACTGAATCAATGCCTGCCAAAAGGGCAGAAATGAGCACATTTGATCCTTTAAAGCAAAGAAGAGATCACAGTTCTTCTCTTTCCCAAGAAAGAGGAAGGTGAAAGCGGAACATGGATCAAGGGAGTGAAGGAAGGCTGTACACAACTCACCTTGGAGCCAAGGTCTTCTCGCCGATTTCCCGCCTTACTCCTGCGTAGTTTAATGGATGGAGATCGTAGCAGGTTCTTGATTCGACTGGTAATGGTTGACCCTTCCACAGCCATCATGATGAGGAGCCACTAACAGTCTCTGACTCGGTCTTAGGACCTGTCTCAACAGCGGAGCAGCCTTCCCACTCTGCAGGGCCTTCCAGGGTGCCCTCTTACTGACCTGAGATAGCAGACACCAGCTCAGCATTAGGTGTCTTACCTTCCTCCTAGCTCTGTCGGCAGTCTCTACCTGTAGGTATTGCCTTTTCTCTTCCCGGACAGACCCTCATGTCTACACTTTAGGAAATCGAGAGGTCAAATCCACTAGAAGGGGGTGGGAGGTAAATCCTGAGCCCTCAAGAACTGCCAGGCCCACGCCAGCCAGAAGCGTTTAGCTGATGGAATAGGACAGGACGGGCCCTACCTAGCAGGGCTGGTGACCGGGAGACCAGTCAGGTCCCGTTAATTCCCTACTGTTCCCATGGCAACTACGGCGCTCAAGGAAGGTGGCGGCCGAGGTCACCGGGGAGTTCTGCAGGGACCCCGGCACCTGCGCAGGCGGTCGTGGGGTTCACCGCGGCCCTGCAGCCCGTTCTATCAGAGCTCCTCCATCCAGACCCTCCAGAACACGCTTTCGGGCTGCCACCTGGCTCTCGACCTTCTTTCACAGCTCCTCTTCCCCCACCGGAAAGCCCGTTACTCGTCAGCGCCCCCGCGAGGGTCCTGCCTCACCAGCTCCACGGCGCGAGGGCCGCCCCACTCACAGCGCCCTCGAGCATCGCGCTCGGCGATTTCGGCTCCGCCGCGTCTGCGGCATCAGCAGCTATGGTGTCACGAGCGGCTCAAAACGCGAACTCACTCGCAGGCCAAACTCATAGGGTGGGCGGAGCCTAGGAGGGCGTTTGGAGAGCTGACTGGCAAGGTTTAGGGAGGGGTGGAGCCAACGAAACCGCCTAGGAAGTTGCTGGCATAAGGCTCAAGAATCACAGATTCAGTACTAGTGCAGCCATGGATACTGCTATTAAACAGTTAACAGAACATGGCTTCAGAATTGAGAGCTAAGCCTTTTATGGTATGATCAGGCCTGGTGCTGCATAGAACAACTTCCCAAAACTCCAGTGACAAGATGATTAACCTCATTCCCAAGGTGTTATCTGGTAGGTTTTAGAGACCAGTAGAGAATTACTAGTAGTAGAATTACAAGATTGAGGTGGAACCTCTAAACTACGTTCCCAGTTAAAGAAGTGTTGCATTACCTAAGTCTGTCAAGGAACTCACTAAAATGCCAACAAGCAATAATGTCAAAGACTAAGGTGCACCTGATCCAAGCCATGGTATTTTCAATTGCTTCCTATGCATCCGATCTTTGAACAATAAGGATGACTTAAGAACTGACAACTTTGAGTTGTGTGGCGCAGAGTACTGAGTATCCTTATGCACTGCCAAAGAACCAACAGGTCTGTCTTGCAGGAAGTGCAACAAGATTGTTCCTTAAAGGATGGTGAAACATGCATCTCACATTATTCTGGGCGTGTTATGAAGTCTGTCCTTGTGAAAAGGGCTCATGTTGGGAGATGTGGAAGGTCAGTGAAAGAGGAAGACCATCAATAAGACGGCCTGACACAATGAAACAATGGGACTGAACGTATCTGAAATTGTGAGGATGGCACAGGATTGGGCAAAGTTCAGATCTGTGGTTCACAGGATAGCTAAGAACCTAACAATAACGTTCCCATCAGCCTCAAGCGCTAGAACCTGAGTGAGAATAGTTTCTGCTTGGGATAGGCCAAGATGTCAACATTTGTGGAAAAGACTAATCCATTCAGTTGTTTTGCACTGGGTAGGTGACCCATGGATAGTGATCAAGTAGAAGGAAAGTGTGACCTTGAGTACAACTTTAAAGTCCCAGGAAGGGGGAAGATAGAGAAGTTAATGTGCCTATGGGATATACTTGTTTCAGACTGACAACAATGAACTGAGTTGTTGCCCCAATGTTTTCATGCTTTACACATCAGGCTTGTTAAGAGAATTAGCAGTCTTCCCTCAAGATGGACAGCTTCCCACACCTGACAAAGGGTCTGTATGTGTCAAAACTGACTAGATGGCAGGGGGGTTGAGAGGTTTTGTTTGTTTCGTTTTTTTCCTCTTCTGCCAACCGTAGGACCATTAAATACTGAGGTCCTGGTCAAATTTATTAACTTTAGTTTTAATGCAGGTTCTAGGACACAGAAGTAGTACATGCTTTTCCATATTTCACAGGCCTAAAACTTTATTTTCTACAACTCTAGGATTTTCCACCTTGATAAATAAAAATGTCTTACTAAAACCAGGTTAGCCTATATACAAAAGACCTGCATGACAGAGGAAAGACACATTTACTGGACCTATCTTACCTTAGCCAGGGCCTTGGAACTCCTAGAGATGTTAAGATCGGCTGCCATTAAATCAATTATGACTCTTATCAACACAATAAAGCAGAGTTTCTATCCAGAAATTGTAAACCAGAGGGCTTCATAGGCTGTAGTCTTTAGAAGTTAAGTGTTGAGCTGTCAATTAGAGCAGCTGATGTGTTTATACCACAGTTCCCCCACCATGTGGTAAAGGGCCTTAAAGCCATTATTGTTGGTGGATCTTATATATATAATCAAATGTTTAACAGGCATGCACTTACATGCTGTGGTCATGTATTAAAAACAAATAAAACTGCAGAGATGATAGAGAAATCTCACCTCCTGTAAGACTTAAGTGACAGTTATCAGAGGAATGAAGTTTCTTTCTCCTTAGCCATGCACGGTAATGCTATGAAATTATAAAATGGGGAGGGGGCAGAATTTTCAAAGTTACTTCTCAAATCTAGATGAGGAAAAGGAGCTCTGATGGCCTATTGGCAAGACGTTGCACTGTAATCCCGAAGGCACAAGTTTTGAGTCCACCAGCTGTTCTGTGGAAGAAGGATGGACAATCTGCTCCAGTGCTATTCATCGCTATGAAAATCTGCTGGAGGATCAGCTATGGATCGATTCCAACTCGATGGTACACAACAACAGAGGGAGGAAAAAGTCACAAGGTAGTTCCCATTGATGCTGAGTCAAAACAGACTCATAGCCAACCCTCCATTGGGTTTCCAAGACTGTAAATCTTAAGGGAGGTGTCTGCCCATCTTTCTTCATTGGATTCTAACCACTCTGGAGAGGCATGGCCTTTTGGTTAGCAGCTCAACTCCCTATAGACTAACCACAAGAGCTCCATTAACTAGAATACAAAATGGGCTTTCTTCAACTCCTTTCACTTTATTTTCCTTCTAATGGACAGAGAAGCCAGCAGAGCACTGTAATGGCGCCACCTGGTGTTTTACTTGTATGCTGCAAAATCAAGCAATTGTCAGTTACCCAAGAAACTAGAAGTGTGTTCGTTCATAGGCATTAATACATTTTCTCCAGATCGTTTGTATACCTGCCAGTAGTTTTCTCACTTACCTAACCATGCAAGACCAGGCAGCTGAGCTTACAAAAGTGTCACTAAGGAATTCCTGTTCACAGAGTTTATACCCCTTGAGAAAATGTTCCTCAAATTACACACATCTGAAGCTGCAGAGGCAAAAGGAAATTCCTGCTTTCCTTGCCCAAGATGATTTCAGTGAAAGATAACTGGGGCCATTTTAACAAGGAGATGCCTTAAGTCTGGGATCTGGATATTTCCAGTTAAGGGTTTAAATCACAAAGGTTCAGTCCAACTTTATTCTCTGTGTATCATGCTAATTTTGAGATGACCATAGAAGAATTGTTTCAAACTTCGTAAACAAGGCACTATGGGATAGCAGAGACCAAAGTCTGCAGGTGGGAACAGAACTGATCTCAAAACTATGCTTCTAAGACCATTTTCCTACTTAACAAAGTTTCTTCTAATAACAGAGTTTGTAATAAATGATAAAAGGACTTAGATCTCAGTCTCAATATTTCCAATTCTTCCTATGGGTTATTAATTCCCTTCCCCATTTACACCATCATTACTTTGTGGGACATTTCATTCGTATTTTGATGTACTACAGCTATGTTTCACTTTTAAAGTTGAATATGACAAGTTATTTTCCTCTAATACCATTTCAAAAATTCCTAATTTTTCTTCGCCAAATGGCAGTGTTCGAATTTCTCTGCATGTAGCCACTAGAATCCATGTTAAAAAATGTGTTCCCTTCATTGCGCTTTTTTGGTTGGCTGTTTAGTTTGGTTGAGAAGGGATGTTTGTTGCTTTTGTTTAACATCTCAGAGTGATGGGCAGATTATTATCACCATTTTTTCATTTCTGTCTTCAAACTCAAATTCATTTTGCCTGGTTACATTTCAAATATCTCAACCAGTATAATTAGAAGAAATACCTGCCCTGCTTATTAAGCCCCTGCTTCCAAAATAGATGGTTGTCTTCTTTTACGTGTTCCAATCATTCTGAAACTTGTTCTAGCTCTAGGAACTAAAATTCACCCATACTGTAGGAACGAAAACTAATAAATTTAATACAGAATTATCTCTGTAACTGGACTTGATATGTTAATAATCTTAAGTAGAGTAGCTCAAAGTTTAAAGAATTCCTTTAGAAGACTTTTTTTTGTAAATAATGTCACTTAATAAACATCTATTTAAGAGAATTTGTTGCTGGTGAGCTCTGGTGGCCTAGTGGCAAGAAGCTGCATTGCAATCCCAGAAGTGTGTAGTTCAAATCCACCATATGCTCTGCTGGAGAAGGAGGGACAATCTCCTCCTGTACTAGTCAAATCTGATTTGATGGTACACACACCAAAAAAATAATAAAATTTGAAAAAAAAGAAAGAAAATTTGTTGCCCTCATCCACAAAGACTGGTTTTATGACTCCTATTATCCCCATTTAACAAGGATATTCCCTTGGATACGTGGTACTATGAGGCTAACCTTTCTTCACTGTACAACACTTGAGACAAGTAAGATGTACAAAATTTTAACATCTCCACAGAAAACATGCTACATAGATTAGACCATCAAAAATATCCCCAAATAGCATGTCAGAAACCTGGATTCCCATTGTGAAACCACTCCCATGCCACATCTATTCCAACTCACAAACCTCCCAACACCAAATCCTGCTTTAATTATTTTATTTTAGGTTTATATATTCTGCCTTTCAGTTGTCAAACTTCTTCCATTCTTAGGTTTCTTTAAAAAAAAATAGTCATTTTTCAAAAGCAGAAAACAAAACATATATATTTAATATATAAAAGAAAAGGCTAAATCTGACATTATTATATTCTTAAAAACATTCCATTTATTTACAGATGTATAAAAAGGCGAATTATTGGTCTACTGAGATCATGCTTCTTACTGAGTTAAGGTGAGAGCCCAATGACCTCCAGATTCTTCAACTTCTTTTACTCAGCTACATTTTTCATAATTATACATGTAATTTTCATACATCAGTTTCTCTTAGGGTAAGGTTAAAGGATAGAGGTTTTAGATTTGTCAAGACTGCAGGATTGTTCTGATGACCAAATCTGTTTCAGTTTAGACTCTTAAGTTCTGAATGGCCTTGAGAATACTCTTGTCTTGGGGGACTGTAACAACATCTGCAGCATTTTCTGAACACCTGGAATCATCCTTCAACCATCTTCATATATCATAACAGTCAAATATCCTCTAGTCAAGAATAGATTTTTCTTCTAAAAAGAGGGAACAGTGTTCAGAAGCTAAAATGGTCCTTCTTTTCCTGAGGATTGTTTGCTTACTTGCCTTGTCCTTGGCTGACCCTCAAAAGCCTTAAGACCCTTGGGAAGTCAGAAGGAAATGTGCAGAAGAGACAAGCAAGGATTTATTAAGAAACAGCTATACCTGGATTAAAGTACTAGCATCTCCAAGGACAATTATTAGCAGGGGAAATAGGATCTGGAATCCTTGGCTAAGGCATTGAATGAAATCTGCTGAGTAAAAAAAAAAAAGTGGGCAAGATAATGAGAAGCTGAGGGGCACATTTTACCTACTTCAAGCTTATTCAGTATCTTTTAGAGCAGCTCTAGGAAGGGGCGTAGCACAAATCCAACAAGAATTTGCTCCACTGTAATTTGCAGAGAAAGCACTGTCTCCATCCCTTTCAATCTGGCAATCACCAAGTTAGTAGAAAGGGAACCAACCACAGAAGTTATGATTCAGTTGGCTGGAACCATTTCAAAGTTGGTCTCACAATTTAGGTCTGAAGATATGCTGAGTGAATTTGAGATAAAGAAAAGGGGGGGGGGGCGGTGTAGAACAAATATATTACCTGGGCACAGCCCAGGCACTGGAAGCTCTTGTGTTAAAGTGTTTCACACGCAAGCAAATCCTGTCAATGAAGACAGAACAGGGATTACATTCCAAAATATAATTATTTAAGAAAGGCAAAATGCAGCAGCTAAATCTCAGTCTATACATTTTCAGAATAGCGATTCTTGCCCCCAGGAGTTTCTAAGAAACCCCCCCAAGTGCACCATAATTATTTACAAACTACATAGGAAACATTTCTATTCTTAATACAAATCTCATCTTCTAGGTTGAAAACTTCAGCCTTTGAGAAATCTATGAAAACTATACAAAAATATAAATATCTTTACATGCCGTCAGTCCTTCATACTCTGACAGCTGAGTGAAAAAGCTCTACAGAACATTGAATCCATGGTAGCAGATAATAAAAAATATATCTTGTGATTCAAATACTGCCTTATTTATCCCTGGTAAAGAGTGCGCACTGTGACTTTTCTTTACATCCTGTGCAGGTAATAATGAGTGAAACCTTCAAGCACCTGGAGGCTGGGTTAATTGGGAAATATCCAGCCCCACATTTATTTTGGCCACTGTCTCTGGCTTGAGGAGGGAATGTTTTTCAATTTAGTTGTCTCTTAAGTGGCATAATTTGTGAAGGGGGAAGGTTCCCTTCATGCCTATCTCCAAAATAAATATTCCAACTATAAATCCCTGGCACTATGAAATAGTATTTTCAAAACGTCCTTGAGTTTTGACAATAAAGGAAAACTATTATTTGTTTTAAACACTTCAAAATAGTCATCTTATGATTAACATTAAAAACATCCCTATTTTACCAGAAGACTTGACTTTATAATTCTAAATGAAATGAAGACGGAATGAAATGGATTTAAAATTAACTTGCCATAAAAAAAAGAAGAGAAAAATTTGCTGACTGATTCAATGTCCTTCACTTTGGTATTCCATGGTACCCATACTACCTCTCCCTATGCTTGAAACACCAACCAAAAACTCTTATTTTTTCTAGATGGATCTCTTTGCACAAGTGTTATCTATCACATTCCTTGGATTTCAGATTTAAACAGTGCTGTAACTACCAATAAGGAACCCTGATGGCACAGTCAGTTTACAGTTCAGTCCACAGAAACTTCAAAGTCTCAAGTAGTTTTTTTGCTGGGAGGGAAGAATTAGGGACCACTGTATGGACTGGAAGTCTTCTTAATTTCTTGAGTAAGAGGGGCACCGTGTGTTCAGAAAAGGATCACATCTTAAGAGAGGATGAGGGAACCCAGCACCACAAGTGAGGTAACACATTTAACATGATCAGAATTTCATAGTAGTAATTTCTTAACTGGGATCAGCACCCTACCCCCTTTCTCCATCATTATTCCTTGCATCCTAAAGTCAAGGATCAGAGTTCCACGACACAGATGCCTACAGAGAAAGGAGGTGAGATTCAATTTTCCCACGCAGCCTGGCTTCCGCTTGAGGACAAGTAAGTTCATTTCCCTGCAGAACTTGATGAGGCTCCAGAGCTACCTAATTTAGCCATAATGGGTGCAAGTGTAGGCATCACCTTGCTCTCATGGCCTTCCTGGTCATTCCCTGTTAAGTTCGTTTTGTGTCCAACTGACCCAATTTTGGTAGCCACAGGTGCCAAACAAGGCATTACCTTCAGACTCTGACCATCTGAATCACTGGAAGGATTAGCTACTTTTAAGCCTAAAGGTGCCAACTTTGGCATAGGCCTCCACAAAGTATCTGTGCTGCTGTTCTCCAGGCCAGTCTTCATACGTAGGATAGGGGGTGAAGACACACTTTCAGGTTCTGTAGGGAATTTAGATGTATTCTTCCCTCCATTACTGGCTTTCCTGTGGGTAAGAAGCGTATCCTTTACCTCAGAGTCAATAACAATCTTTAGCACATCGGTTTCAGAGGCTGGGTCAGTAAGCTGTTTTTCACTCTCAGACAGGTCATCATCTTCCAAATGCAAAAGGAGTGGACTAATAGGGTCACTTCCTCCTTGTACATCAGGCAACTCTTTCAAATCAGTTCCCAAGTGATCAACCTGGAAAGTTCCTCTGTTCCCAGGAGGAAGCTTACTGATAAAAGCCCGCCGAGCATCCCCTGGGAACTCTGTACCTACAGTGCTGGGTAGTTCAGCCAGGCCCACAGAGTCATCGTTTAGTTGTTGATTAAGAAAAGCAATCTCATTGAGAAGTGAAGTTAGTCTCTCATCAGTGTCATCCTCATCTTCCATGTTAGTGAGCAGTTCACTGGGATCCAGTGCTGCTTCTTCTATAGCAGAGGCCACCTTTCTCAGTTCCATCTCTATGCTTGAGTCTTTGAGATCTTTCATCTTCAATTTATGAAATGGGGACACTTTTGCTTTCAGTCTCTCTCCTCTTGAGTCACTCTCTTTCCATTTATACTGGATCCCTCTTAGATCACTAGAAATCTTTTTGGGCAAGCGCTCTTGTGCTTCCTGAACAGCATTAACATCAATTATTTGTGGAAAACTAGAATCTTGATTTGCCAAAAAAACCTGTGCTGGATTCAGTTCCATTCTGCCACCTCTATGGGTGCCTCTAGAAGAGCTTCTACCTGAATCTTCAAAGCAATCCTCTTCATTTCTGACTCGTTCTTTCAGGTGATCAGGTGCTTTGCTATCAGGAAGTTCATGCGGATATTTGCTGCCACTCATATCTACCAAACCTTCCTCTGTGGCCAATGATGTCACATTAACAATCCTTGGCATCATAAATAAGTCATCATTGTCTGGGGAGAGAAAAAAAAAAGGTTAAGAAATCTCTCTCCCTCGATCACATTCAACAACTACGTCATTGAATGACAACCTCACTGAGGCTGTAATTAAAATTCATCAGTTCACGTTCATCAAAAAGATTAAGGGCCTAATGCCACACACAGACACACATGTCAAGTAAAACCTAATAAAAAAATTCTGTTTTTCCACTATTAATAAATATCTACTTAATCATTTTATAGAACTAGCTCCTAAATAAATTATCAGAAAGCAGAAATAATCTTTATTCTGTCCATTCAATTAATAGCTACTCTAAAATGGAAATGAAGACCTAGATGCACCACTGTAAGAAAAAGGGCTACTTCTTCATATTGGGCTTAGATAGACAAAGTACTGCTGGATGGCAACGGTCACAAAGCAGGAGCTAAGTCTGGTATGGATATTTTAAAGCCTCTTGGTGGTGCAACAGTTCTGAGTTTCAACACTAACCTAAAGGTTGTTGGTTTGAATACAAGCAGCAGGGCTGAAGAAAAAAAAAACCCACCCCAAAACCAAACAACAACAAAAAGCAAATAAAAACACACACACAAAAACCCCAAAATCCAATAAACCAAACAGAGTTGATAATTTGTTTCTGTGAGCATTAAAGCTAAAAAAATCCTATGGAACAGTTCTATAACATAGGACATAAGAACACTCGACAGAACAGTTCTGTTCTATTCCATACCATATAAGGTCATCATGAGTCAGGATCAATTTGACAGCAACAGATTTGGTTTTTAAGGATTTACCCTTTAACAGAAATTGATGTCTGAAGTGAAATCACCAGCTTCCCTTTCAAATAAACCAAACTTACTGCTATCCCCCAAACAGAGTGGTCGTCCAAATGAATCAGGCTGGAAACACAGAGTGTAATATTTCTTAAGTATAACATAAAACTGATTTACCAACATTTAAGACAATGACCATTCAATACCTTCCTTTCACTTTGGTACTTTTCTCCTCCCCCCCATTTATAAAAAACTGCAATTCACATAATAGTTTCCAACATCAGCTAAAAACAAACCAATCAATATTCTAGTTTCTTAAAAAGACTGTCATATCCTATCAAGATGAATACAAAGGAAGCAGTTCTTTATCATCAATCATTTTCAAACGCTTTCTCTTCAACTACCCATAGAAGTGAACACTTTTGGCATACCTGATTGAGTCACAGAACTGCTGGAAGCTTGAGGTTTTATATCTGCTTCTAAGAGAGCAGGGGAAACAGTTACGACTGGTCCCGAGAACAGAGGACCTTTTAAGGTGAGCAGTTGTCCTTGTGGAGTCATCACGAGGTTGGAAGAGGTGTGCTGTATATTAGAGGGCGAGGTATTTTCTGTAAGAGAGATGAAAAGTTAGTTAAAGATAAAGGATCTTCAACTAGGGCGAATGTGACCCAACAATCTAAGAGATATCTTTAAGGCTAAATTCTGACTTAAAAGGCTAAAGGTAAAACTGAATTTTGTGTGAAGGAACCTCAACTTGTAAATGACTTTTTGAACCTCTTGGTACCAGCAGCCAGGAAATCAACAGATGAATTTATACTGGGAAAGTCGGCTGTCAGGGACCTCTCCAAAGTTCTAAAAAGTAACAGTGTCAGTCTGGAGACTAAGGTGTGCCTGATCAAGGCCATGGTCTTTGAAATTACTTGCTATGTGTCAGAAAGCTGGACAATGACTAGGGATGATAGGAGAATTGATGCCTTTGAGCTGTAGTGCTGGAAGAGAGTACTGAATATACCATGGACTGCCAGAACAAACAGGTTCACCCTGGAGAGGGTAAAACCAGGCTGTTCCTTGGAGGCAAGAATTCTGAAGTTTCACCTGACATACTTTGGGCACATTTCAAGGAGGGACCAGTCCTTAGAGAGGGAGATCATACTTGGAAGCATGTAGCGACAGCACAAGAGAGGAAGATCCTTCATGGCATGGATTAATTCCATGATTGGGGTAATGAGGGTAGGTGTGTCAGAGCCATTAAGACTGGCACAGGACAGAGCAGGTTTCAGGACTATTGTACATAGGTTGGCTATGAGTCGCAAATGACTCAACAGCACATAACAAAACAACAATGGTTGCCTGCCCCACAGTTATACAATTTCAGCCAATATAGCAAGATGTTGTACAACTACCCCAAACAACTGAAACTGTGACAGTAAATGAGGATGTAGTAGAATGAAAGCATATGTAATTTTATCTCTAAATTACTTTCCAATAGCTCTAACACATTAAAATTAATTTTATCAAGTTAAAATTTTTTATTTTTTTAAAAGTGTCTAAACCTCAGTCTTCCTATCTATGAAACAAGGTCACTAGGCCAAACTGATGTTAAAATTCTTTCTTAGCACAAAAACATGAAAAAAATGTTCAAAATCCCTAGCGCTAAGAGAGATGCAAATCAAAACAACTATGAGATATCCTCTCATCCCAGTCAGAATAGCAAAATCTAACAGAACAGCAAACACCAAATGCTGGCAAAATTGCAGAGAAATTGGAACCCTTATTCACTGTTGATGGGAGTGTAAAATGGTGCAACCACTGTGGAAGGCAGTGTGGCATTTTCTCAAAAAGTTACAAATAGAAATACCATTTGACCCAGCAATTCCACCACTGGGAATTTACCCTAAAGGAACCATAACCGCCACCCAAGCAGATATATGCACAGCCATGTTTATTGCTGCTTTGTACCCAACAGCAAAGAGTTGGAAATAACCCAAGTGCCCATCAACAAATGAATGGAGGGAAAGGCTGTGGTATATCCACACAATGGAATACTACGCTGCATTGGAAAACAAGGAATTCATGAAATATACAAAATGGGTGGCCCTGGAGGAAATTAAGCTGAGTAAAATATCTCAGTCACAAAAGGACAAAAATTTATAGATAGTGCCACTGTTGTAAAATGCAACTGACATCGGGGCTGAGGGAAGACTGAGAGAGATGGGATAAATAATGCATACTGCATTGAAACAGATGAGGGAGAGAACTGTTTAAAAGGGCTGTATCATTAAGCATTACTGTCATGGCAGGAGCCCAGAATGAAGGCTGCACAGTGGAGTAGACTTGAGGGAAGAGATTGTATAACAATGGGAAAAAATTTTCTTTTATTTTTCAAAGAGAAAAACTAAGGGGGGTGGGGTGGGGAGGGGGCAGGGAGAAAAGTGCAAAAATGAATGAATGGAAACCCTAAGTCTCTGTAAACTTTCATTAAAATTAATTTTTAAAAAAACAACAAACTCACTCATGTTTCACAGGATTTTCTGGTTCACACACTGAACGACCCAAAGCGTTTACAAAAAAATTTATTAGCCAATGTCATTAGCCTTTCACTTCCAATCCAGGATAGGAGGAAAGCAAAAATTCAGAACCATAGCAATTCATTACCAGACAATTTGGTGGAAAAAAATCCTGATTTAACAAAATTCATTACTTAAATTTTATTTTCTTCTGATCTGCATTTTAAAAAAATCATTACTTTAAAAAATGTCTCAATGTATTTGTCTCAACTAGTCCCTAACTTCAACTGATGAGAAAACTGTATAGCAATCAAGTATTAACATGTAAGTCTCAAAAGGTATTTACTTTAAAAAAAAGTGTATATTTTTATACACTTTTCTTTAAATCATTAAATCAAAACTAATATTATTGCCAAGAAAAGATGTTCTTTAGTACACTAAATGATGTTCATTCTACACTGAGAAAAACAAAAAATGCCTTCTTCCTACCTGTGGCTTGGTCTTTTTTTCTGGAAAGAATCAAAGGTTTCCCCCTCCTGTTATTTATAAACATCTGCTCTAGATCTACAGACGATGCAGATAATCTTTGTTTGTCAGTTCCAGGAGAAATATTAAGCTCATCTGATCCAATCTTCTTTTTCCTTTTCTGAGCCTCTAGTGCTTGTTGTTTGGCATATATATATTCCAGCTTCTTTAGGACTACTTCTTCTGTCTTACCTGTAAGTTGACAGGTAAATTGTCACTCTCTATGTTAATTCCTCATAATGAGAAAGAAAGTAAATAAAAATCCAGTTAATTTAAATACATCCTCAAAACCACAGAAGACAAGAATGACTGAAACCCAGAAGAAATGCTTCTCTCAATGAAGAGAGAGAAATGCTTCTTCTCACAAAGAAAACAGAACTCTGCTGAAAACTCTGGGCGCCAACCCTATGAGGTAAACGCGAGCTAAAGATCGACTGAGGACTCTTCACTAAAGCTGCTGCCATGCTTTCCACTAGTGATCATGCACCCATCTCACCTGAAAGAGATGATACTTTTCGAATCAAAATGTTACGTTTTCGAGTCAGAAGATTTTTCTGTCCTATCAATTTGTCTGCCTGATCTGTTAGTCCTTGAATTTCACTGAATGCCTAGAAGGAGAACAGTTATACGTCAATCATTTAATTCATGTCTACAAATGGATGAAGCCTAAGCAATTTCTGTAATAAAAATATTTTAACATACTAGAAAACGTTACACTAGTCACAGCAATTCTTAAAATGTCAGAAATTGTTTTTAATTAAATTCTAAGAGATACTCTGACAACTATATCTACTACTCACTGACACGGCTAAAGTTTCCAAGCCTAGGCTGTTATTCGAAAATCAGCAATATGTGAAAAAAAACCAAATTAATTAAAAAAAAAAAAGACTACATCATACCACAGAGCTCTGGTACCCTCATGGTAAGAAGCTGTCTGTAATCCCAAAACACACAGTTAAAATCCACCAGAAGAAAATAAAATTTTCTTGTATTTCTCTAATTAATCATCATTACCTACTTATGATTTTCATCATCCTGAGACTACTTATATAGATAGGGGTGATGTCTAGATTACATGGTATCTTCCTTAAAGTATTTGCTGGGCATTCACTAGTCCATATTCAAATGCTAAGTACAAGTAGCAATATTTCAATCTCTTATCTATAGAAGGAAGATATTTAGTCAAGTTCTTCTTTATTTATTATTTATACAGAACACTTACCCGTGTAAGGATGAGACTTTTTGAAACCTTGGATGAATGAAGCAATCCTAAGGTGATCTTCAATTTCTCAAAGAGATCCCTCATTTCACCACGCCGTCTCCGCTCATTGGCAGTATGTGTCCGGCGATAATAAGCAAAAGCTTCTGCTTCTTTCTGTAGTTTTTCATTCCAGTAATCAGACTTCACTTTGACAGGTACTAGTGGTACCTGCTCAAAGATTGCCTTATAAATAACTTTCATATCTACCTATTAAATATCACATATAGTAAGGGTGTAGTAAACTTCCTATCTTGCTTTTATCACACTCTTGTTAGTACCCCAAAACTCTTATGTAAATAAAATTATCTTTCTGAAGTTAAATCCATTTCACATTAATATAGTACACTAAACAATATACAGAAAGGGAGAGCGGGGGGAAAAGAGTGAGGGAAGTTTTATTCACAGATGGAAAAACTGCAGAGGTTGACAGGCAGAGAAGAGAAAAGAGGGAGAAGCAGTAGAAAGTAGAGAATGGATATTCAAGATGAAGGAAATGGGGGCGTTTTGCTAGGGTGCTATTAATGATGGTACTATACAACTGCCATTATTGTTAGAAAATGAATTGTATATGAGTGAGTGAATTAGAACTAACAAAAGAAATAGTTTGGAGAATAAAAGGTACAGTAAGAGAAAATTATCATACTGAAATATAATAAAACACTGTAAATAAACTGCATGCAATAATTAGGATATTCAATAAAACAAAAAATCTAAAGTTACTACAAAGACTGTTATATTTGGAAAATGTTCTAGGATGAATTCTTTAAAATTAAATTGTGATAGCATATATTATTATGATTCTTAAATCAAACTTCGATTTTAAAAAAGAACAAAACCTCCTTAATCATTTTGGAAATACCAGAGTAACATCTTCTTCCTCAACTCAACCCCTATAGCTTAAAGGCAGAATAATAAATGGAAAATATTTTAGTAACTGAATACCCTTCCATTCCTGTAAGAATAAAAAGAAAATCTGCTTAATTACACTGCCATGGTTTCAAATTCAACACATTAAGAAAACTAAAGAAAGTTTATAATTTCATTGTTCCTTGAATTGTAACCTTCATTAAAGAGTAATATTTTAGGTGGCAGAAAATTGTGAACTTAGGCGAGGAAGAATAACAACTTATTTTACATTAAATCATTGTATTGCAGCATGTTTTCAAATATGCGCATCAATTTTTATATAATTCTTATGTATTTTAATGCTTCAATTATTTTATCATCTTGGTATGAGAATTAAGAGGAGAATAAAATCTATAATAGCACTTTCATTGAGGTGGTGCAAAAAAGGTAGATTATTTTAATGTAGTGGTAAAAAATCGTAGCTAATGTTGTTTTAACTTTAAAGAAAAATGTTATTTATTTTACTGAGTAATCATCCATTAAATACATTATAAATACCTTCCGATTCTTTTCAGTTGCTTTTTCATCTGTAGGGATAGGGAGACGGCACCTAGAGGAAAAAAAGCAATTTCCAATGTCTTACTGAAATTGAGACCCTACTGATCGCCCCCCCCCCTTTTTTAAAACGAGGAATGTATGCTGTACTCACCTAAGCAAGTATTATTTAGAATTTCACTATTACCATACTCTGTGTATCTTTCTTGAACTAATTTATTTATCTTTCTGGAACTAATTTATTTAACTTAACATTACATCTGAGGTATCCTGATATAGTTCAATTGTTTTAAATCATACATATAGTTAATTAGTATATCACATAAATACTACAATACTCTTTCTCTAGTAGCAATTTAAATTGTTTTTGAATGTTCACAATAGCAAGTGCTACAATGGATAGTTCCATAGTGTCCCCTATTCAAAAACACTAGCTTTTCTACGTTATATACCTAGACATAAACTGTCTGCTAGGTGAGAGAGGCATGGGAATGTTATCTTGTAGTACATGTCAAGCTGTTCTCTAAACATGCAGTACATTAGCATTCCCATTACTCCACACTTAATAATGGTACCATCAAAAAACCATCTTGACCTATTAACATGGCATGTATTTACTGAATTATCTGTCAATGCTTTTTTAAAAAATAAAATATACAGCTTTTACTAGATTATTCTTAGTTTTATCCCTACTATTATTTATAATTATTTTTTATTACACTTTTCTATTGGTTGTTATTGTCAGCGTGCTTTTAATGTGCACTTCTCTAATTACTTGCGGGGAGTTGAGGTGGGCTAGTAGTAAGAAGATGTGCTGCAATCCCACATACACAGAGTTTCAATCCACCAGCTGTTCCACCAGAAAAGGATGGGAACCTCTACCCATGTGATTTACTATCTTTGGAAATCCGCTGGAGGGTCAGCTATGGGTCAATTTTGACTTGATGACACACAATAACAATTACTTGTGAGGGAGTTCTTGTAGTTCGTAAGGAGTCGCATTGCTAACCCAAAGGCCACATCTCTCTGGTGGTTTCAATCCAGCATTAGCTCCATTGGAGAAAGATGGGCAATATGCTCCCCTGTAATGTGCAGCCTCTAAAGAACAACTGGTGGGTTATCTATGCGTCAGTTTCAATTTGATAACAATGAGAGAGAGAGAGAGAATTACTTGTGAAGAAGCCATGGTGGGATAATATATAGTACTGGGCTGCTAACTACAACACTGTAAATTTGAACACACCAGCTGCTTCATGGAGAAAGTTGGGGAATCTCCTCCCATAAAAATTTATAGCCTGGGGACTTGAGGGAGCATTGCTGTGAGCAGGGAGTGGGCTTAATTATTTGTGAGGTTAAATATCTTGGCATGTGTTTATTTTTTATTTCCACTTCTGTGAACTGCCTGAGAATAATCATTATATAATACAGTTCTTTTGGATTGGTTTTTTTTTACTATTTTGTCACATTTTTAACATACTTAATACTTTGTCAGCTTCATATACACACATATAGAATGTTCTCTTTAAAGTCATGAGTTTGTCTTTTTCATGGTTTTCATTTTAACATGAAAATATTTTTATATTCTCTTCTTTTACAGTTTATAAACTTTTTGTTGGCTCTTCTTGGGCCTATTAACATGGCATCTCTCCATTTACTGGATTATTCTTGAGTATGCTCAATAAAATAAAATGCATATAGCTTTTGCTAGATTACTCTTAGTTTTTTTCTTTTTATTTATAATTTTTTTTTATTAGACTTTCTAGTGTTTTTGTTCAGACATTCCTCTAGGTCGTATAGCCTTGATGTTTCCACTTGCCATACAGCGGTAATTTGTGGTTGCTTTGAGGCTGAACACTGTGACACTGATGTGTCAAATGCGTTAATGGCTGGTTACCCAATGCGGACAGGGAGTGGGGTGGAGCTCCCTGATTAAAACAAGCCTGGAGGAGTGGCATCCACTTGCTTAATAGCTTAGCTCCGGAAACCCTACGAAGTTGGAGAGAGGATAAGACACCCCCAATCACTGAGGACTCTCCTTCATAGGGTCGCTATGAGTCGAAGGCACTTAACAACAACAACAACAACAACAACAACAACAGTGGTTGCTATTGTTTAGCAACTCAATTAGTCTGTTGTCATCTGTGGCTCAGATAACTGGGATTCAGAATTATTTTATATAAGGTAGAGCAGAACTGCCCATAAGGTTTCTGAGGCTGTAATCTTTACTTGTGCAGAGCCACTGGCAAATTTGAATTGCTAAACTTTCAGTTATCACTTAAGGCTCTTACCCATTCCATGACCAGGTTCCTTCAATTTTCATTTATTTATCTATATTCAACAATACTCCTGAACTTATTTATGCATTTAATTAGACTAAATTAAAAGTCTAATTATGTTTTTAAGGGATTTAAAGTCTTTAAAGCTCACTCAATATGCCAATAGTTCTAGGGTGAGTGAAATACTAAGCTTATTTCTCATTTCAGACTTTCAAAGCATCAGTGGAAATGAAAAGTTACTTCCTCAACTCAGTATTATATGTACAAATAGATAAAGCACAATGTCTGGCACAAAGAACACAATTACAATGTACTCTTTTATATCTCAGCCCCTAATCAATTTAAGAATCACAAAATACAATAAACGGCAATGAGCAAATATTCATATCCTTCATATTTTCATCTCAACTGAGCAAGTGGAATAATTTTCCTACCTCTAATCTATTAAAAAAGTAATCAAGTAATTCATACGCATTATTCCTTAAAGAGCAGCTCTTTCGGAGTAGCCTACTCACAATGGTTTTTATACCAGCTACATGTATTATCTTATTTAACACTCAAATAGTATTTTAATCCCAGAGTGTCAGGTTCCAAAAGCATTTTTTATTTTGATTTATATACTGCCTCCTAACAACAGTCATGGTAAATTAATGACTTCCTGAATTCCAGTTCTTCTTGCTCATCTTCTAACCAGAAAAATACTAGCAAGTGAATGAACCAAATCAGTTAACTCGAGTTGCTAAAGAGAACATTTAGTTTTGTTTCTGCCTTAAAAGAAGAGCAAAACAAATAAAATCCAAAGAGAAATAGGACTTACGGCTGTTTGGAAGAAAGCATATGGGCAACTGGGGTCTGTATGTGGACGTTCACGTCCTCTGAGAGCTCCTCCACAGTCTCAATATCTATGTGCTCATCATCCTCCTCAAGGTAGTCTACACAATTATTCTGAAATAAATGATTATAAGAATAATGTTTAGGGAAGTAAGCAAATTTCAATTTTTTTCAACTGGATACCTCTTTTTTTTAAGACCATTAAGAGCCAAACATAGGTCTTCTACCACAAATACGGATAATCCTAAACTTAATCTTAAAAAGTAATTATGTCAGAAAGATAACATATAATTTAAGAACCAGGAACTACACTTCAAGTCACAAGTGTATGTTAAATAGAGATCACTTAGATTGAACCGAGTCCCCAAAGGACTACAATGATGCTTAAGTATTAAACATTAAAGCTGTATGAATCTTGAGATCAACCAGCACTAAAATAAAATCTGGTAGGAAATGAGGATAAAGGGGGAAAAGTCAGGTTCTATTTAAGGTCACTGGCTAGTTAACATCGTAACAGTCACAAATCAACACATGTTAATCTATCTATTCAGGGGAGTTCTGGAAATGAGTCTTCTAAGGCTCTCAACTCCACAAAATAATAACTTTTGAAGTATTTCAGATTTGAGAAGAAGCCCAGTCTTGCTGTACTTGATTATAACAAAAAAATGAGCCAATCAGTAAGCATTTATTGAGCATCTGCCATCAAAAACTACCATTTATTTTGTATAACTGGGTATATAAAACCACACATAATTCAAAGTCTATCTTTAGACTTTTTTTGTGTGTGCATTTCACTAAGTCAGAAACACTAATATATTCTAAAATATCATCCTAAAATATCAGAGGAATATAACTCAATACAAACCACCTCAATTCTCTTATTAATTCTACGTTTAAACTTGTTGGAAAAGATTACTTACCCCTAAACTGAAGGCTCTATAAAACTGATACACACTAATAGCAAGCTCTAAACCCTTGATTATGTTTTTGTTCTCCAACATAATTTAAGTACCTTATTTTTATTAAAAGACAAAAATCTTTACTCAGTGACCCAAACAGCTACAAATAAATTCTAATGATCGGGTTCTCTATATGATTATATCCCTGACATAAAAGAACTAACTTAAATTAACTATCTTATCTACCAGCTTTGGATACACTCAATAAATTCAAGATTTTCCAAGTAACAGTATCAAGAATAATGGCAAAATATGTATTAAAACAATGCACATTAAAATTAATTTAGAAAGCAAAATAGTTGCATGAGAATCTAAATTCATAGAGTACAAATACAGTAATGTAAATAGAAGCTATACATTATTTAAACTGAAAACTTTGCCTACTGAATAGTTTTAAAGGCAAGCTTTGTAAATACTATTCATTAACTTTCACAACAGAAAATTTAGATGAGAGGTTACCTAAAACTTTCAAGCATGAAGGTATCTTAAGTGTGAGATATATATAAATAATACAAAGTAAAATTTATATTTTTCTAGATAATATAATGTCCTTACTTATGTAACTTATCTGTCAGATAAGTCTACACTGTATAATTAAGACATTTTTAAAGTTCTAGTAAGTCAGTGCCATCTACAGCAACAGTTTTGAAGTTGGATAATTTTCGGTCTAATGCTTACCCAAGGAAAGACCACAGCAAAATAATTTCTAAACTTAATGAATAAATAAAATTATTGAATACATAACATTATCTGTCCTTGGAAAATATTAAGCTACAGAGTATGCAGGAATCATTCCATTTTTAAGCTAAGGCTCCTCTTTAGAAATTAACATATGAGGTACAGAAATACCTATTGCATAGAAACATTCTTTCTCAATATTTTAGAATTTTAAATATTAACCTTTATATTTTATCTATGTAAGGCAGTGAGGTATTAGCAGAGAAGGACTCAGTAAGAGAAAAGTCAAATGAATCTCAAGGAAATGAGATCCTAAACCAACCAGCTAGCTCTGGGTTAAACTGTGCAGAAGACTTTATTATTTCTAAAGACAGACACACAGTTTAGATTTAAGGGCATCTCACATGGCAGCTGGTTATGGTCTACTTATGTTTTCTATCATCATCAACAAACTAATATAAATAATAAAATTTTACCAAAACACAGCCATTCCCATTCACTTGTATATTCGCTATGGCTACTTTCATGCAATATCAGCAATCATATAGTTGTAATAGCTACCCATGTGCCTATAAGGTCAAAAATATTTACTGTGTGGCCATTTACAGAAAAAGTCAGCCTAACGTCCTGCCCTACAGCATGTGTGACCCACATCTGTTGCTGTTGTTGACTGCCTTCGAGTCCAGCATGACTCACAGTGATCCTATGAACAAAAGGCCTGAAGGACCTCTACAACTATCAACATTTATCAAAGTTCATAGTGTTTCCGGAGGCATGTTGTTTAGGAAGTAGATGCCATTTCTTATTCTTAAATATAGCCCTAACTCAGAAGCACAGACAGTTTCAAAATGGGGGGAACCCCCAAATCCCACTCAAACAAACGTTGTATTACAAAGGAAGATAAATATTGTATAGCTTCTAATTCTATTATAATAGAAATTCTTGACACAGAAGAGCATGATATCAAATAATTAGAATGCAACTTATAGCAGGATTGTATTAAGATATTAGATAGTATTTTCTAAAACAATAAAAAATACAAATAGATACTGCAAACAGATTTGTTCTCTGTAAGTTCTAAAGTTATACATCCCCTATTTTTTGCTACATCTATCAGATAAGCTGCAATTACCTTAAAAAAAAAAGGCACCACAGAAATTAACTCATAAAACAGGGGTAGTGGTTTCAGGCTTTCTTTGTTCAAATACAACTTGGAAGGTACTGTACCCTTCCAAGCACTATTTCTTAATGATTTAAACCCGTTTACGCATAATACCAGACAATCTAAAAAAGTAAAAGCTCAATAAATGTTGGCTGACTGACACTTTGAAAACTAAAAATTGATTTATTACTTATGATCTAAACCCAGGCATCCAATCAAACATAGCAATTCTTACTAATCTTTACTATTGCTACTAACAAATCCCTTAAATCCTTGAGGTTTCAGTCACAACAAAAACCAGCTCACCGCCTTTTCTATATCATCAACTTCCTCACTCTGGTAGTCAGAAACAATATCCACAACTTCATCAACAGAATCATCGGTTTTTTCATCTTCCTCATACTCCTCTTCCAAATCCAAAACGGTAAAGTCAGCACTGTGTCTTCCACTCTTCATTTGCTCTGGCTGTATCTGTTCTCCTGGTAGCAGTAAATGACCCTGAAAATGTCCATTCCCTCTGTTGCTTTTTGTAGCTCTCCTGGGAACAATGGATAAGGCTTCAGGATTAGAAATCCTATTCCAAGGATCACATTCCGTTTTTAAAACTCTGGAACCCTCAGTAATTCCACTTTCCCCAGAGCTGTCTTGTTCTTGTTGACACACATTTGAATTTGGCTTTGCTTCTTTAATTAACTGATCATCTGCCTCTTTCTTACATTCTTGTGAAGCTCTAACATATTTTCGGGTCAATGGACCCTTCAGGTGTTTTCTCCATTTTTCTCTATTATTGTCCTTCTCTATAGAGCTTCCACATCCCTTCTCCTTGGTCTCTGATGGTAGATCAAATTGTGGTTCCACAACTCTGCTCCCTAGTAATTCAAGTTTATTTTCTTCCTTAGAGATGACTGGAAATTCACTTGATTTTTTCTCTGAATTATCTAATATGTTCTGCTGTTCCACTTTCACATCATCAAGTCTTTTAAGAGGAATACTGCTTTTGTTTTGTACCATCTTACTACTGGCTTTATCAGAAACTGCCTTAGCTTCTAGTACAGTCCGTTTTTCCTTGGAATTGCTCTGATTCCTAGACCCACACTCTTCACTGGTATCTTTACAGCCTTGATCTGGATGTGATCCAGTGACAGCAGAGTGCTCAGAAGTTATGGCAGTTGCTGATTCTTCCTCCATAATAGATTCCTCATCAAAATGATCACTCCCATCTTCTATCTTCAGGGTTTCTTTTGAGTCAGTAGCTTCTGGGTTTTGGCTTATAATATTAGCCTCAGGGTCTACAGCATCTCCTTCTGCCTTTAAAGCCTTCTTAGTTTCCTGATCTCGTATAGAGTTTGTTTCATTTTTCTGATCTACATTTTGTAAATCTTTTTTCATCTGCAGAGAAGCAACATGCTGAAGAATGGAACTGGGAATGGGTTTTTGTCCTGGGAGCTGCAACAAGGCAAAACTGCCAGACTGGAGAGGAATAAGACTGGCTGTACCAACAGGCTGCCCTCCTGAGCTGTAAGTTATTTTGGTTTCAGAGCCTGTTTTATTTGCAAAGTTTTGTGGTTCAGTTGCAGAAATCCTCAGGGTCAAAGTACCAGCCGTACCAGCCTGAGACACAAAACCAGATCCAGAGGAAAGCACTGAGGGTGCCTGCACTCCAGGAGAAGACCCAACAGTCTGAATAACAGGGTTCACAACAGCAAAAGTAGAAGATGACGCAGAAGATGGTGGTGTCTCAGATTTGGAAGGAGCTGGTAACCGGATTCCCATCACAGATCCTGGTAAAAATGGAAAAGAAAATTAAATAATTGCTTTGCTCAAAATAGCAAGGAGTTGGAAACAACCTAAGTGCCCATCAACAAATGAATGGATAGAGAAACTCTGGTATACTCACACAATGGAATACTACACTGCATTGAAAAACAAGGAACTCATGCAGTATTATTCAAAATGGGTGACCCTGGAGGACATTATGCTGAGTGAAATTTCTCAGTCACAAAAGTACAAATACTGCATGGTGCCACTGTTGTAGAATGAGGCTGACATCGAAGTGGGGATAAGACTGAGAAAAATTGGATAAATTATGTATACTACACATTGAAGCCAATGAGGGAGAGAACAGTTTAAAAGTAATATATTTTAGGGCTTTATGATTATCATAAGAGTTCGGAATGAAGGTTGCAGAGTATACTCGGGGTGGGAGTGGTGGGGGGGTACGGGGGGATTGTATACCGATGAAGGAGTTTTTTCTTTTGCTTTTCAAGGAGAAGAGTGAATTGGGGATGGGGGTGGGGTGGGCGGGGAGAAAAGTGCAACAATGAATGAATGAAAATCCAAAATCTCTGTAAATGTTCATGGAAATAAAAGAGATAAAAAAAAATTCAGTAATTGCCCATATCAAGTCTTTCAAAGGACACTATTCTTTTTGAACAGGTAACTCTAAGGTATTAAGGTGACTAACCCTAAATTAACACATCACAGTTTCCACAAAAGAAAAACTCCAACTTTGTACCTGGGTTCCGAAACATGACGGGCTGTAAGTTAGGCTGGGTATTAGAGCCTCGAATCTGATGCAAAGGAAGGAGCTGGACAATCTGCCCATTAGGATGTCTGAATAGATTCATTCCACTTGGACTCCTAACAGGCTGCAAGATCATCCGATGTCCTTGAAGTTGTGTATTTGCGACAGGTCTAACAGTAGGAGAACCCTGCTGCACTGGAATCAACAATAACCGAGGTCCAGCACGTTTCATTGTGTTAGGAGAAGCTTGTGGAGTAGCCACTGGAATCTGAGGAGCATTCTCTAAAAAACAGGAAATATAAACATGGTATCAGAATTCTTTTCTAATACATGTTGTTGTTAAGTGTCGTCAAGTCAGAGACAACTCATAGTGATCCTATGAACAAAAGACCTGAATGCTTGTATAACTTTCGTCATTTCTCTAAGTTCACAGAGTTTCCAGAAGCAAGCTATTTTGAAGTGGATGCCACTCCTGCTTCCAAGTGTGTTTTAACTGGGGAGGCTCCACCAAACACTGTCCACCATGGGTAACCAATCATTAATGCATTTGACACATTAGTGTGACAGTGATTAGCATCACACCAACCACAAGTTACCTCTGTACAGCTAACGGACAGATCAGTTAGAAAGTTTGACCAAAAACAATTAAAATCAGGCCTGAGGGCTGCAGATTAAAATCACCCACCTTTGGCGTGGTAGCAACACTTTCTGTCCACTAGGCCAACAGAGTTCTCTCACTGTTGTTAAGTGCCGCTGAGTCATAGATGACTCACAGCGACCCTATAAATGAAAGACCTGAACACTTGTATAGCTCTTGTAATACATATTGGGGGGAGGGGGGGAGAATTATTATGATATGGGCCTATGCCATGATGACTTCCATAATGAATTATAAAGTTGGAGAAATCTTGTATCATTATGATATACTATTTAATGGTCCAAAGGCAGAGAACAATTATAAGAGCTCTGATGGCACAGGGGCAGAGGTTACACTGTCAATCAAAAGGCAGATGCTTTAAATCCACTGGCCACTCACTCCACAGGAGAAAAATGAGCAATCAATCTCCTCCTATGTGATTCACAGCCTTTAAAAACACTCTGGAGGGTCAGCTATGAGTTGTTTCTGACTGAACAGCAATGAACTGATTGCAGTTATTAACCAGACTTTACAAGGTTTTACATTTAAAATTGTAAAAAAAATTTAAAGCATCAATTGTCAACAGAAGCACTTAATGGGATAATTCTTCTGCCTAATAAGAAACATGGGCAGGCCTCTCATCTGGTTTCTCATTAGAGTTAAAACAGATCCTTTTTTATAAAATTCTCTTCATTTTTAAATTTAATAGTAGGGAACACTCTTCCATTCAAGTAAGATAGGGTTAAGAATTAAAGAGCAGGAAGTATAAAAAGTTTGTTTTTAAAATTCACTTATAAATAAGTAAAGCTTAAACATTTATAGAAATAATTTTAAATTTAAAAAGACATACTTCCTCAATAACAGAATGAAATTAAAGAGACATAATCTTTAGTTAGGAAGAGTCAAATGATAAATTTCAAACACAAAATTTAGGACAGAAAACAGGAATTAAAGAGAGACTCAAGCATTAACAGCAGCTAGGGATGTACTTTTTCAAAGATCTACTAAGACATGGGGAAAAATTAGCAATTTACAGATTACTTTTTCGGGCTATGGGAATAAGGAGGTAGTAACAGTGCCAGTATAAATAACAGTCTAATATTATTATTCAAATTGAGAGGTTCATTTAGACAATGTTTAAATAATTAAAACCTTTGATTAGTTTGTAATCAACAAACCAAAACTAAAGAGAAAAAGTTCAACATAAGGACTGTTTTTGAAAATAAAATTAAGCACAAGAGCATACACTTGTGGGGGGGGGTGTACATGTGTAAACAAGAATAAAACTTTCTTTTTTTTAAATTATTATTATTTTTGTGTGCGTGCACCGTCAAATCAGATCTGACTGGTACAGGAGGAGATTGTCCCTCCTTCCCCGGCAGAGCATCTGGTGGATTCGAATCGTGAGGCTCTGGGATTGTAGTTGCAGCTCTTTGCCACTAGGCCACCAGAGCTCCCCAAGAATAAAACTTACTTAAATGGATTAAGACACATATTACTCTTAATTTCTAAAACTTTTCTCTTCAAACTGAATGACTAAAAACTAAATTATCCCTATTCAGATATTCAAAACAAACTCTTAACACAAGTGAATGAAAAATGTGGGAATGTCTAATTGCCTAAACTGGGCCTCTGTGAATTGAGACTGCACATATTTCCTTAGAAGCAAAGTTACCTGAACCAGCTGTTTGTAAAAGGAGGTAAGAAAATGTTAACAACATTAGTATTTCATAAAATAGTGTGACAGATAATTTTTGGTGGTATAATAATAGAGAATAACACTAATCTACATTGTTAGAAAGTAAATTTTTCACATTTTAATCTTCTTATAACACACAGGAAGAAGGATCCATCTATTATATTGTTTTTTGTTTTCTTCCAAGTTTCTGATGGTTTTCTTCACTAACAGAAACCAAGTTATATGCCAAGAACATATACTAGCAAGCTAGTTTCTGGTCTATCAATTGATGGAATTAACATCAATGAAGGTTAATACTCTTCTTATAATGATTTTAAAATACACTTAAGTAAACAAATTTCAATAATAGTAAAGACAGCATAGGTGATAGTATTACAATAGTAATATTATTAAATAAATAATAGTACAGATTATAGTATAGTAAATTGCTTTTTTTAGTTTTTTTATTAATTTTAATGAAAGTTTACAGAGACTTAGGGTTTCTATTCATTCATTGTTGCAAGTAAATTACTTTTAATGCATACTCTGAATGCTCAAATTCTGAGAAACAAGAAATTAGAAAAACCTAAAACTATGGTTTTACGACAGAAATGACAACTAAAGGTTAAAATTCAATATAGTATGGGAAAGATAAGAACCTTGACATTTAATAGAAATCTGTCATTCACAAACAATGATCTCACTAACAAAACTTGACTATATACTAATCTTAAGTATTTATGGGAGACACCAAGACACAACATGTTTCCTTTCAATAAAATTTTAATTCTCAAATAATTTACTAAAGATCTATTGAACCCTGTCATGAAATGAAAAAGTACTCAGAAAATATTTAATAACCAAAACCTCTGCTGTCGTATTTATTTCTCCTTCAAATCTCAAAAGCCTTGTACTCTTTTCCACATTCATTTTACTGTGTGGATCAAGAGAATCTCATATTTAACTGCAGTGAGATAAAAAACTAGCAAAGCAGGATATTTCTATTTTAAATTCAATGAGAAAAAGTTAAATTTTAGTAAAAGTTCATAAACACATAAATTATCATTCTAAATAATGCTTTCCTATTCTATTTCAATGAGCTCACATGTAATAAATAGAGACATTATGTCAGTATTATATGAGAATTTGTACTAATTTATACATGAATTTGACTATTAAGAGGAGCTTGACTGGTAGGATGAGCTTGACTGTAGTAACATAGGCAAAAGTCCTCTCATTTCTTGTTTGGGGGATGGGAGGAGTATCTGAATTTCGGGTTCCCTCCTCGGAGATGTGTTGCATGCGAGCTGCATGTAGCTCTCAGAACACATCAGGTCCCTCTTTCTCCAGGGTTCACCTTATCAAATACTCTACAGCACAGAGCTCTGCTCCTATTTTATTTCCCTATGCCCTGCCAGAATTTACATTCTATTACTTTTGAGTATTTCTGCGATGTCCTGGGGTAACCTCCAGCATCACTACTTACCCCTGCCAAGGCTGTTGAAGTTATCACCCAAGAACAGTATTTATTAATACTCTGGTTACAAATTTTCATGGCTTTTTAGCAGTTTGTCCTAATTCTATTAGTCCTAATAACTGTAATGTTCATTTTTGCAAAATGCAAAGGATTTCACCCACACAATAATCTAGCAACATCTAATAATCCTATTATAACCATAAAGTTATAGAAATAGCTGTACGGTAAAGTGCCTAGGCCTTACCTGGTCTCTGGCTCACTGGTGGACTCCCATTAATTCCCGAAAGTATAATAGGAACAGAGCCCAGAGATGAAGTTGGTGTGGTCACCATGGAGGAAGATGCAGCTGTGGTCACCACGACTATGGAAGTGGAGGCAGTGGAAGCAACAGGAAGAGTTATGGTTGGAGAAGATGCTACCAAAGACTTAGGAAAAGCAACTGAAGCCACAGGGGTATTTATCCCAGTAGTTTTGGTAAGGTTCGCAGTGGCTGTTGACTGGCATGATGTTACTGGGGTGCTGGTATTAGGTTCAGAGACCTGAAAAGCTCCTTTAGTGGTGGCACCAGGAGAGTAAGTAGTTTCTTTAGTTCCCTTGTCAGAAATAGCAGTCATAGGTGTCACAGAAGTACCATTTTCTAAAAACACTTGAGGGGTGGTAGTAGTGACAGCAGCAGTCACAGAGTTGCACACCTGAACTGGCTCAGAAGAAACCACAGGTGTGACGACCATTACTGGAGAAGGTCTGATAGTGAACTTCTGTGGCCCTGTCAGGGGTTGGGGTGTGCTAACTCCAGGTATCTTCTGCTGCAGGGTTCCAACTTTACTCATCACAAACTGTGTGAACACACCACCAGGAGAGGGTCGAGCCGCTGCAAATAAAAATTTGCAGGTCAAAAATCTTCAGTTCTCAATTTTATCCTCTTAGTGAATGTGTTTATCAATAGTTACTATGTACCACTGGGTTCTAGTAACCTATGTTATGTGTGACAATTTACACCCATAACCATCAAACACTTCCCTCAACCCAAACCAAACCGTTATATAGTAATTCTAACAAGAATGGGGCTAAAATAGTTTTCTACTAAAAATATTCTGGTTTTGCAGGATAGTCAAATTGCTAGGACATGAAAAAGGAAAACATGGAGGCAAGTAACTTCATCACTAAAAACAGGACAGTAAGAAGGAGGGTGTATTTTCCCTTAACACTAATTCTAAAGTTGTTTCCACCACTTTCTCCTTCCCCAGTACCTCCATCTCTTTTTATTTACTATTCTCCTAAGACAGCTAAGTTCTGCGTATTTCTAAAATGTTCAGAGGAGGATAGAACATTAAAAAAAAAAAACAAAGAAACAACAAAATCCAAACCAGCTCAAGATGTTTCTTGGTTTAAAAAAAAAATACTGGGGGGGCAGGGGGTAGGTATACCTATCCTTACATTCACATAATTCCAGCTTTCAGCCAGAGATTTCAAATTTCTATTAGAGAAGTAATATCAGTAATTTGCATCTTTATATAACATTACTATATAGATTTGCAACAACACAAAAAAGCTCAACAAACCAACCACTGTTCACTCAATGCTAAATATACATAAATAAATATACCAAGAAGGCAGTATTTATATACTCTAGCATTGAAATATTAATTTAAATAAAAAGTTCTCATTTACAGATCAGGAAACAGACCAAGGCAATGCTGATAAAATGATGCTTCACACAAACCATCTTTAAGCCTATACTAATACAGAACACCTTCAACTGTTAGCATCACAGAAACCTAATTGGTGGCAAAGCATCAGCCCTCAAAGGAAAAATACTATACTAGGTAAAGTATTTAGAATACAACGTACTTCTATTTTGAGAAGTAAAATTAAAAAACTTGAGTCTTTCCTACATTAATATAAACAGTCTAAAAGATGGTAAAGAGCAACAACTTATAAAGCTAAGAAGAACTTACTTACTACTAGAGGTCACTGAAAGTATTACCAAAAAACTTATTTTTAAAATACAGACACCCAAAAAAAGGCCACATTATGTATGTCTGTAATTTTTATCCTTGTACTCACTGAACCCAGTACTAAGTTACAGGAACGTCCAACACTTATGTACCCTCAACTTACCAATTGGTCTTTTAGCTGGCACAAACGCCTTCAAACTCTTCCCAGGGCGACTTGAAGTAGTGCTGGAGGAGGATGTCGTTTTGGAATTGGATGTTGAAGGCAACAGGGTACGTGGTTTCCTGGATTCAGCCACCTTGACATTGGATGCTACCTTGGAGATGACAGTACTGAGGGTTGAGAGGTCCAGGACTGAGGGTCGCAACCTGCCTGTGATATAAGCAGCTAGCCTATTGGCTGGATGCAATGCCCCCATCTGTCCCAATAGCAACTTAGCCTGCGGGTAACTCTTACCATTAACCTGAAACAAGTGGCAAAGAGAAATTCTGTAAAGATAAAATTCTCTTGCTAACTCTTCTCCCTTGATGGGTTTCTTTCATTTTACAAGATATCCAAAGTCTATTTATCAGATTTAAAAAGGAAAAAGAAATAGCCTTTTACCATTTTGGAATACCTGAATTATTAGGAGACTGGGGGATGAAATGCTGCTAGCTAAATATTTTCCAATCCACAACATTTTTATTTAGATAATCTGGACACAGACAATTTTAGAAATTTATCATTTCTGCATCATAGATATTTCAAAATCACTCAACTGATTTATGCATCAATAAGTAATTCTAGCTAAACTACTAACAATTATCAGCAAACCTAAATAACTGTGATGCATTAAATTCCTCTGGTAAAACCACAAAGGATCTTTTTAAGCATTCTTCGTACTTGAAAAAAATACAAAATGACTTCACTTTAAGTTCTAAGACCATCCTTGTTACAACAATCATAATAACCTAAGCAACACAATCACTTTAGTTTATAATTTTCTGAAGACTCAACTTTGAAACTACTGCCTTTATCTTCTGGAAAAAGTTTAGACCAGTAGTTGTCAGTTATTAAACTGTCAGAAGAAAGTGAACAAAGAAGATAAAGATTGACTCTACTGTGTTAGTGGGCTGGATTGTACTTCCCATTTGGGTAGCAATATAGTTTTTTTTTTAAAAATTTTTTTAAATCTATTTAAATTTTTTATACATGTTTTCCAGAGTCACTCACTCTTGTACTTTTCTATGCTTCTTTACAACTTCAAAAGGCAAAAAGAGGACAATGTAAGGGATGGAAGTTCCTATTCTAACTGAAAGGAATTTATGAGAAAAATAGATAAACAGAAAGCCACTTCAGCTTCAAAGACATGAGACAAAATTATTTAAATAGCAAAAGAGAAGACAAACTAGGCATTTCTCATATTCAAAGAACCACAGAACAAATTTAGGACTCAAGCTGCAACAAATTTAGGACTAAAGGATTCTATGGGCAAAATATTGAATGATGCAAGCAGCATCAAAAGAAGCTGGAAGGAAGGCAGAGTCACTACCAAAAAGAACTGGTTGACATTGAACCATTTCAAGAAGTAGTATAAGATCAGAAACCAATGGTAATTAAGGAAGGAAATACAAGCCGCACAGAAGGCAATGGCTTAACATAAGACCCTAGGAGTTAATGAAATACCAACTGACATGTTTCAAACAGATGCACCCCTGGATGTGCTCATGAATTCATGCCAAGAAATTTGGAAGCTACCTAGCCAAGTGATCAGAAGACGTCCATATTTGTTCCTATTTCCCCAAAAGTTGATGCAATATTGTGGAAATTACTGAGCAAAATCAGTAATAACACATGCAAGTAGAATCTTGCTGAAGATTATTTTTAAATGGTTTTATCAGTTTATCTATAGGGAACTGTAGAAATTCAAGCTGGATTTGAAAGAGGCTGTAGAATGAGACATAACTGCTAGTATTAGATGCATCTTTGCTAAAAGAAGAGAACACTAGAAAAATGTTTAAATTATGGCTAACACTGAGAAGAATGGGAATTCCAAAAGCTATCCATAGACAGAACCAGTTGTTCAAATACAATGCATGTTTTAAAATCAGGAAAAGGAGTGCATTAAGATTCTATCCATTCATCATTATTTATTCTGTATCTACACTGAGCTGGACTATATAAAAATGTGGCATAAAGATTGAACGAAGACAACTTGTCACCCACCTGGGTAGATGACAAGGCAGATGACACAACCTTGCCTGCAAAAAAATTGAAGTCTGGAAATGCAGAAGATCAGAACTATAGTCTTACAGAGATTGTATCTTAACGTTAAAAAAAAAAAAATCAGCACTGGACCAATAGGCTGGCCCCCATGATGGACGGAGAAAAAAGATTCAAGTTGTCAACAACTTCATCTTTCTTGGATCCATAATCAACACACCCATGGTAGCATCAGTCAAAAAACCAAAGTTATGTTGCACTGGGGAAATCTGCTGCAAAGAACCTCTTCAAAGTACTAAAAAGCAAGGATGACAGTTTAAAGACTTGGATGCACCTGATGCAAGCCATGGCATTTTGTTTCCTACTCATATGAAAATGGGACCATAAATAAGGATGACTGAAGAAGAATTGATGCCTCTGAACTGTGACGTCAGAGAAGAGTACGAAATATCCCAAGGACTGTCAAAAGAACAAAGAAGTCTGTCTGGGAGGAAATGCAACCAGGTGATTTTTAGAGGCAGGGATGATGAAATTTATTTTGAGGATGTTGTCCGAAAGGCGCTAGTCTTTGGAAAACCAGATCATGCTGGAAAAGGTGGGTAAAAAGAAGACCCTCAACAAGAGGCACTGTAACGGTGACTTAAAAAAAAAACAAAAACAAACAAAAAAAACCAGTGACTTTTAACAATGAACAATTATGACAAAGATTATGAGAATGGCACAAGTTAAGATTCAGATCTGTTTTTCATAGTCACAATGAGTCACACTTGTCTCAATAATACCTGTAATAATATAAGTTAAATTATGAGTATCCTACAAAGATTAGGAATATCTTTACATTGATTTTAAAGAAAGAAGAAAATCTTTGCATCCTAAAATAAAACTCTTTGGTAGTTTTTCCAACCTATCAAATGTAGGGCAGGTATTCCTATTCAGCAGCAGCTTCAAAGTGCGTATCACAGTGGCCTGACTGTTTTAAGTTTGGTTCATATTCTATGTTGGTTTTTGAATCTTCATCAAGAGATTAGAATACAAAATTTCTATGTATTTCTATCCTTTATTTCAGTCTTGCTATGTATGATCTCAGGGTAGTTTTGGTTTTCAAAGCATCAATCAATAAACGGGCAAGACAGCAAACAGTTGTTTTTTATCATTAAGAGTTTAAGAACAATGAATGAATGGAAATCCAAATTCTCTGTAAATGTTCATTAAAATAAAAAAAAAAAGTTTAAGAAACACCAAGTAAAGCCACTGCTTAATACCAGCTATGTTAAGTAATCAATTACATTATTAATGTAAAAGTTTTTAGGGAAGCAGACAAGCTAATGAAAACAATTGACTTTGACAATAAATAATGTTAGATATTTCTATACAGTTCCTACTCTGATGTAAAAGTACATTTTACAACTGAGCCAAAAGAAAAACCCTTTTTTGACTATGACTTAAAATTCAATTTAGAAACTTCTCTTACCAAATAATTTTTTGACGCCAGTGTGCTTTTACCAATTATATGCCTAAATTAAAGTAGCAAAAAGAGATCTTAAAACAACAGTATCTTAAAACAACAATAATATACTGGCAAAAATCATGTAAATGAAAGAAAGAACAATTTTGAAGAAACAAAAGAATTTTTTAAAATCTCATTATTTTGAATAATATTATGTTAAATTATAAATTTTCCCAAGCTGCAAACATGTATTGCCTATCTTAAATTTCCTCTTCTCCTTACTACCTATCCCTAACATTTTATAGATGGGTGAAAAAAATACTTTTAAAAAAATGTCCACCAATGATAAATTCAAAGAACTAGACTAAATTCTTACTCATCCTAATTTAATTTTCAAAGTACCATCAGAGCCAGGTATAAAATTTAAGAGCAACTCTCAGGGGAGACTAGGGAAAAATAGAATCCTAAGCTAATATGGGGTTTCATATAAGGCCCACAAGGGGCCCTGGAAATAAAAAATGTTACCTAGTATAAAAAGATGCTATACCCAGATTAAAGACAATTCTCACCTGGATAAGCCCAGATGTGCTTGAACTGGGTTTACGTTTATAGGCCACAAGCTTCCCTGCAGGAGAAAGGCCTGCATAAAAAGGCAGACCTTTGCCTCCATGCAATCTTTCCCTCACTGAATCCAAGGCATCTGTCTGCATAGAAGTGAGATCATCCATTTTCCCAGGGGATAATGGACCATCAGGAGTCTCTGATTCAGATTTCTCAGCCATATCATCTTGGTCTTGACATGATGGCATAGAGATTTTCACACGAGAAGAATAAACAGGAGGGTTCTTCTCACCCCGGCTCTTTCGCTGAGAAGCCAACTCAATGATGAAGCTGCCCACCTTAAGTGACTGTGGCATGTTGCTATTGATGTGCTGGGATAAGATGCTCAAAATCTTGTTCCGATCCTCCTCCCAGTTGCAGTCTGAGATGATCTCTATCAGTTTGGTGGGTCCACCAGGTGACCTCTGATGCACATACGAGGTAGAAGATGATTCTCCTTCATTGCAGGATGACTTCCAGTTCTTTTCTGATAAAGATTTGAAAGATGTTTTGGCATCACAGTATTGTATCAAACTTTTAAAGACTCATTTTCTCTCAGTTCTCAGAAAAGTGTCAGAAGTCGGAGAATGGTTAACAGTTACTCAGTGTCCCATTTTCCATGTACTCTCAGTGACAGTCTAGTACCTATCTAACACTCACAATCTGGGTGTCTTCCCAAAGAATAAATATTCTAAAGAATCAGACTACATTAGTATTCACTAACTTACTGGCTAGACTTTAATTTTTTTTTTTCTTTTCAAAAAAGACATATCTTAAGAACATACTAAAATATAGAACTATCTTCACCAAGATAAAGAAGATGAAACTTGTATGATACAGTTCATATTGTGTTATTTATATATGCAAAGAAAAGATACTGTTTGTTTTGTAACATACCAAGGTTAGAGTCAATTCTAAAGAACAGCAAGAATGTTATGGTTTTAAAAAAATACATTCAGGGAGGGGGAAAAGTACACTATACCTCTAATTTCTACAGCTACTTCTGAAATAACTGTGTGTGGACGGTTGTGTATAAGAATATGATTGCCCAATCCCTACAACATATTTGCATTAGTGGAAACACATTAATTAGGTATATACTTCACCCACACACACTGTATGCAGAATCAGTTCTGACTCATAGCTGACCTATCCTCTCCATCTGGATGCCATGCCTATAAACTGCAATGGAAGGAGACAGCTCACCTTTCTCCCTCACAGCTGTTGGTGACTTCAAATTGCACATGTGCAATCTTTGGGTTAACCCAATTCACTATGGGCTGTTATCAGAGTCATGGATACTTCACCAGACACCTACATTTCTACAGCAGAGCTTCCCTACCAATTTACTACAATTGCAGATATGCCAAGAGCCTGTCAGGCTCAGAAGCCTTGCAGGATGACCATGCTCTTGGGTAGGTTTTCTCCATCACAGCAGTCTCCTTCACTTAGTTACGTTACACAATCATTATCATTGTCTATGTATACTATGACCTTCCCCCCTCCCCTTAAAGTTAGTAAGCACTGTTGGTTAAGTGTCAGAAAGTCTTATGAAGCAAAATAAAAACCAAATAGGTAACTTCCCGGTCACCATTTCCCATCATATCAATTCTGGCAGTAGTCTCCTCTGTTAAAATAAATCAGTGTTAAGCCTTTCTTGTTCATTTCTCTAATGGTAGCAGTTACTAAAAACTAAAGTAAAATTACAATAAGAACTGATGCCCATAGTGCCAGAGTTTTGAAAAAGGTTTAAAAATAAATACTGACTTACCTAAAGGACTTTTACAAAAACATAGATCAATAATAATGAATTTTCTTTTTTTTTTTTTAGAGTAAGAGTGTTAAACAGACAAAATAATAGGAAAATCCTTTTAGTTACGCTGTTTTTAGCAAAAAAATGAAATAAGGGTAAATAAACATATTCTGAATTGGTGATTTGAGATTAATTTCAGAATAATAAGAACCTAAGTGGTTCTAGTCCACTAGCAGTTTCACAGAACAAAGTTGGGAAATCTACTCTCACATGATTTATAGCCTCTGAAAACCTGCTGGATGACCAGCTATGAGTCAGTTCCAATTTGACCATAATGAGAAAAAGAAAATATTAATAATAGCAAATGATAAAAATTAAGCTTTCATTCTGACCTTGTGATTTATCAGAATCCTTCTCCAAGTCACAGGTGACTTGCTTTAAAAGATGGTGTTCAGAATCAGGTTCCTAAATATATTGACAAAGAAATGTTTCAACATATATGTAATATCTGTTAGAGTCATGGATACAACCGTAACATTTCTCAAAGAAGATTAAATCATATGAATGACTGAGAAGTCAACAATTTCCTATCTGCACACACAACTGCACTGTTACATTACACAATCTTGGGCAAAATAAGCAGTCTTGTTCACTAATGTCCTTGATAATAACGGAGACAACAAAAAAAAGGGACTTACATTTTTAGTGAATTCTAAAGAAGGTAAATTATTTGATGTTTAACTTAGAAAACTCAACAATGTGAAAACATGTCAACTTATAACTGATTTGAAATCAGAAAAGCCTTTTCTACTTCATAAGAGTAAGTCTAGATTACTTGAGTAAAATGCAAATTTTAGTATTAGCAACAAGCAATTGGAAGGTAAAGCGGACATTATGTAACAAGTAATTCACCTTTTTACTACAGTCCTCAGCACTAGGATGACATGAGCTCTGCTGCTGAAATGGTGAGGAAAGGGATGGTTGTTTCTGTTCTTTTTTTGGTTCATAAACACGAACTCTGGCACAAGTCATCAGACTTTCAAAGTACAAGTAGATTGGATCTTTGTCCTCTTCTCTAATCTGTAAATTTTACACAAGAAAACATGCTATACATTAAGAAAACTCTTAGAACCTACAATCAGGAAAAGATAAAATAGATGAATGGGATCTTCTAAGAATCAAATCCCTATACACATCCAAAAACTTCTCCAACATGGTAAAAAGGGAAGCCACAGACTGGGAAAAGTATTTGGTAATGACATCTCAGATAAGGGACTTATATACAGAATTTATAAAATACTTGAGCACCATAAAATGAAGGTAAATAATCCAACCGAAAAATGGGCACAAAATATGAACAGACACTTCACCAAAGACGACATTCAGATGGCTAACAAGCACATGAAGAAATGTTCAAAATCCCTAGCTCTAAGAGAGATGCAAATCAAAACAACTATGAGGTATCATCTCACCCAGTAAGAATAGCAAAATTTAACAGAACAGCAAGCAACAAATGCTGAAGAGGTAGTGGAGAAACAGAAACCCTCATTCACTGTTGGTGGGAGTGTAAAATGATGCAACCACTGTGGAAGGCGGTATGGCACTTTCTCAAAAAGTTGCAAATAGAGATACCATTTGACCCAGCAATTCCACTACTGGGAATATACTCCAGAGACCATAACTGACATCCAAGCAGATATATGCACACCAATCATGGCTTTGTTCACAATAGCAAGGAGATGGAAACAACCTAAGTGCCCATCAATAAACAAATGGATAGAGAAACTCTGGTGTAGTCACACAATGGAATACTATGCTGCACTGAAAAACAAGGAACTCATGCAATATTATTAAAAATCGGTGACCCTGGACATTATGCTGAGTGAAGTATCTCAGTCACTAAAGGACAAACACTGCATGGTGCCACTGTTGTAAAACAGGACTGACACTGGGGTTGGAAAGGAGACTGAGAAAGATGGGTTCAATAATGTATACTGCATTGAAACAGATGGGGGAGGAAACTGTTTAAAAGGGATATGTGATTAAGTATTTTTGTCATGACAGGTGTCTAGAGTGAAGGCTACATGGTGGAGTGGACCTGGGGGAGGGTTTGTAAAACAATGAAAGAATTTTTGTTTTACTTTTACAAAAGGTTAGCGTACTGGGGGGAGGGTTGGGAGGGGGGAAAAATGCAACAATGAATGAATGGAAATCCAAAGTCTCTAAATTTTTATTGAAATTAATAATAAATTTTTAAAAAAGAAGACTCTTAGACTAAAAAACTGAAGAGGCTGCTTAATCTAACAAATGACTTTTTTTTTTAAAGGAAACTATAAGCTTAAGTCTATGAGCACAATTCATACTTGCTGAATTCTGCGACAGATAAGAATACTGATTCTCTATAAAGAAATTACAGATCATATCTGAGTAGTGTTTCTCAAACTTTCTTTTTTTTTTATTTCAAACTTTCTACAGTAAAGGATGCACTTGCTAATCATCAGCCAAACATAAACTGTTATACTAAAGCACCAGGAAAAACCATGAAAGGATATATGAAATACAAGTCCCCAAGCTTTTCGAATTACACTAAATAGATATTAAATTATTCTACCAACTATTAAATTTTCTAAATATTTATTCACGTTTTCGGTATAGGCAGTTCCTTGGTTACAGACTAACTTACAACCAATTAGAACCAATTCCCATAAAGCACACATTTAGAGCACACATAATGATTCATATTAACAAACTGGTGCTACTTTGTGATATATACCACATCAATATTACTACTGTATTATTATGTAGAAAATGTTTTACTGTACCTAGAAGAGTTAATATTTTTTTCTTCACAGAAACATAACTATATACTATACAAATAACATTTGACTGATGTTAGACATGAAGGAATCATATATAACTAAATTTAATAAAAGGAGCTCATTCATAATCATGAGATGACTTAATACTTCTTTAATCACAAATTAGTAACCAACAGTTTATATCCCAGGTATACAGAGCAGCATTCTAATAAGAGAATTTTTCTTTAATTTAATGGAGCAGGAAGATGGAAACTAATTTAATAATGAGATCTGCTTGGCCTATTATTATATGACAAGTATCAATCCTCACTTTTGCCTATCAGTGTTCAGCTATATAAATGTTACCTGTTAAGTAAACTTCTGAGTTTTACTGGTATCACAGTACTTGAAAAAAAGAACCAAGAACATTATTTTTAGGACCTTGAACCAGCTCATTTGATTTCTGGTGAGAATCTGCATTAGTACTATACTAAGTCAGTATATATACACAAAAATTTGACAGGATAAATACATAAAAATCACATGGGGATCTCGTTCAAATGTAGATGAGAACTCAGTGCACAAGGGGTGAAAATGCAAATCCTCAGAAAGGGGTCAAAGTAGAATGAATTAATACGAATCATATGCACTTCTATGCAAGTTACTTAAAAGATTATTATCATAAAGTGTTTTAAAAGACTCTTCGCCATGTCAAAAAGCCCATCTTTTATATGCTCCTCTTGAAGAGAGACGAGGTTGTTTTGTTATTTGTTTGGTTTTTTTTATATTTTTGTGTGAGTGTACCATCAAATCAGATCTGACTGGTACAGGAAGAAATTGTCCCTCCTTTCCCGGCAGAGCATCTGGTGGATTCGAACCATGAGCGTCTGGGATTGTAGTTGCAGCTCCTTGCCACTAGGCCACTCCCCGAGGCTGTTTTTAAGAGTTATTATAACTTGCTAACTTCTCAAAGGAGTTCTGGTAATTACTGGTAAGGAACTGCACTGTCAATGCAAAGGCACCTGGTTTAATCCACCAACTGTTCCATGGGAGAAAGATGGGCAATCTCTTTTCATTGATTTAATGCCTCTGAAAACCCAGTGGAAAGTTAGCTATGTTTCTGACTTGATGGTATATAACAATTATTCTTCTTTTATGCCATTTTTCAAATACTAAAAATGAAAATAAACTGGAAAGAATCACGTCTCACTAATACACTACTTGAGGACAAAATGATTCCAAAATAGCAACCAAATATCTGGTTGGAATTCCTCATCTTTAGAAATATTTGTAACATGAAGGGAAAAAAGGAAAAAGAAACTCAAAGCTTACCACAGGATTGGGCTTTGGAATATATGGCTTTGCAGGCTTAATTCCAGTGAATGGTTTCCCCTTCACAGTAGCAGATAAAACTTCTGGCTGAGACAATAATAGTGGTTTCATAGGTTCAATGACAGAAGGAGTTGGAATATAAACTGGCTCTGGATCTACTTCACCTTCTACTTTTACCCATAATGGGTAATGTCGAATGGGCTGTTCAGGCTCTGTTTCACAAATAGCTTAAAAAAAAATGCAGGTACTTTTGTCAACAAAAGTTCAATACTGAGGCACTGCCAAAACAAAACACAATCCTTCATAAAAGATAGGAATTAAAACAAAGAGACCTCTAAAAACAGCTTTAGTTGCCCCTCACATTTCTTTATTTAAAGAGTATTTACCAAACATCTACAATGAACTACATGCTATTTGAGGCAATAGAATAAACACAGCAATGAATAAATTTCTTGCCCTCAAAAAATAGAAAACAAAGTTCCTTCCAGTGAGAAAGCAAACTAACAAATCACCACATAGAAAAATACAGCAGAAAAAGCGGATAAAGAGTTTAACAGGGATGCTATTATAATTGGTATGGTCAGAGAAGGTCTTCTTGAAAAATGATAGCATTCTATATCACACTTTTCTGCGAGGAAACACTGCATGGTTCAAAATTGGGAAGGGCGTACGCCAGGGACGTGTCCTGTCCCCATACCTTTTCAACCTGTGTGCAGAAAAGATTATCTGGGAGGCTGGGCTCTATGAGGAGAAATGTGGGGTCAAGACTGGTGGAAGATCTATCAACAGTCTACTACTGTATGCAGATGACACAACCCTGCTTGCTGAAACTGAGGAGGACCTGAAGCGCTTGAAGAATGAGAGACCTATGAACCCTGTGTCATTCTTATTCCGAACACACTTTTAGCCCATTGCTGCAGTCACTGTATCAATCCATTTCACTGAGGCTCTTCCTCTTGTTTCACTGTTCCTCTACCTTTCCAAGTATGAGGTCCTTCTCCAAAGTCTAAGAGTAAAGCTCCTGTTAAGACATTAAGAATTCCTTAGCTCTCAAGGGAGCTCTGGTAGCTTAGTGTCAAGAAGCTGAATGCTCCGCTGGAGAAGGAGGGGCAATCTCCTCCTGTGCCAGTCGGTTCTGATTCAACGGTACACATACACAAGGGAAATAAAATAAATTTTAAAAAAAATAATTCCTCTCAACATCAATATGTGACAGTATTAGTGTAGTTTTGGCTTTCACTTTCTCTTATTTGGTTACTGTACCAAAGATTTCCTGATTATATCCATGTCTTACAGGTTCTAGTTTTCAGAGAATATTTATTAAGCTATAAAGTAATTGTTTCAGTGGCAAATATTTGTGTTTTCTTTCTGACAAGCATTCTCCTTAAACATATTCTGAGCTTTGTACATTTTACTACACTGTCAAATTGTTTTCCAAAGTGGTTATACCTATTACAACCCTTTATGCTGTATATAAATTCCTATTACCTGTCATCTTTATCAACTATGTTCAAATATAACAAAAATAACCATTTTATTAGTAAATACATACATTTCAAATACTCGTAACATGTAAACTATAGAAAGAATACTGAATAATCAGATTTGTACATTTTTATTAAAAAATATATAAAAATATCTTCTCCTGTACCAATGCTACAGTCTCTCCATGAAGTGATTTCTTTAACCATTTCTATTTAATTCTGATGGTTACACTTCTCTACATAAAATGCTTACACTTCAGTACTGAATATCCCATAGACTACCAAAAGAATAAACAGATATATCATGGACAAAGAGCAACTAGAGTACTCCTTCAATGCAAGGAGAGTGATATTTTGAGGAAGACCTTCAATCACACATTAATACAGTGACTGAAGCAATGAACTCAAGTGTGAGAGATGATAAGGACGGCACAAGATAGACAGGTCTACAATCTATTGTTCCTAGGTTCACTATGAGTCACACTTGACAACAATAACAGCTCAGTATGATTAAAGACAAGCAAATTAGCATCCTTAAAATTCCCTACACCTCTCAGCTCTCATCAGCTATAATGTTACTTTTATATTATCATGGTTTATATTACTGATTTCTGTTCCATAATTATATTTAGGCCTTTGGCACTTTGCATATAATTCTGAAAGCTAGTTAAGAAGAAAAAATTTGCTTTAAAATTATGTAATTAATCCGTCCTCAAGCAATTAATATGACTGAGGACACATGCAATCCTGTACCAGTAAGTTTGTTCAAATTTTACATATCAAATGGTGGTGTTTTTTTATACAATTACTGCTTGAAAACACAACAAAATATTTTCTCAATTTGTAGATGGATCATCACTTATGGCTTTGTAGTGTAGTTCTTTTTAAGTGCAGTATGAAAATGAAAAGAATTAGAACAGCCTGACTGGCTAAAAAACAAGAATGAACAGAAACTGACTCAAGCAATATACTTTACTGTATTATTACAAGTGATACTGCATATAACAAAGGAGTAAGAGTTTTAATAAATGAGGGTTAGCTATGGGGAAGAAAATAATTCGCTACTACCAATTTCAGATCAGCTATATTCTAGATAAAATAATAAACTGATATTCTTAAAAGTCCCTAAAAGTACTAGAAGAAAATTTCCATTTTTAAAAATTATCTTGAGGATAGAAAAAAGACTTTCTAAGCAAGAATGAGCCATAACTAGAAATCAAATAGAATGAGATTGCCGTATTTAATCCATCTCTGCTTTTTCTCTTTACTCTTTTTTCCAGAGGTGAATAGTTACGTCTGAAACTGTATTAGAGAATGAATTAAAAAACTACAATCTAGTAAAATAAGCTCTGTGAACTGTTAAGGGACAAAAACAGTAATAATGAAGTCAGCTCAATAAAACAGTAAAGAATACAAAAGAGTAATTTATGACCAATGGTTAATAAATCTATCATTAAAGAAACACTTAAGAAAAAAAAACCAAACAAACCCATGTGAGAGTAGAAAAGCTGGTCCTTTCTATTAGCAAATGTGTAAATCAAAATAATTCTAGTAACATCCATAAATATATTTAATATAAACATATTTAACATGTACTTTTTGTTCTAACAATTTTACTTTTAATAGTTTAATTTATACATTAACCATTTTATCATCAAATTAATACAAAAAGCCTAAATATAAAAAAGATTATAACTTGTAAGTCCATCAAAATTAAAATTACAATGCAAATCTATGAAAAATAGAATATGACTATACAGTATTAAAACGTTAAGGAGGAATATGACCTTATGATAACTCATTGCTGTTAAGTTAGAACTGACTCATAGCTGACCCTCCAGCAGGCTTCCAAGGCTATAAACTGCACTGTCCATCTTTCTCTTGAGGAGCCACTGATAGATTCGACCTATCAGAAAGCTGTGGCCTTTGTATCAGCAGAGCAACTACTGACAAGAACACCATAGCTCCCTGCATTTCAGATCCATTTCGGTAACAATATACGCAATGCATGTATCAAAACATGTATGAATTCACAAAAATTCAAAGGACATTAACCATCTCTGACTAAAATGATATGTGACAAGCAATATTAAATGCAAACATAAGATGACAAAAAGGGAATATTAATCCTCTGATAATAAAGAGGGTAAAAATTCTCTGCAATTAACTAGTAAAATCATATTCAATATATTGGAAAAAATAACACCCTGTAGTAGAAAGAAAAAAAATCTGAGATAAAATGTTTCTGATCTTAAAAAACAAAACAATAAAAAAACCCCACCACAACTCTGTAAAAGGGTACAAAACTATCAGCTCTGCCACAATAATCGGCCTCCAACTACTGGGTAACATGACTCAAACTAAGATTTAAGGGTCTCTTGAGAACTCTGTAAAGAGGTAATGAATTGTATTGATCATCTATAAATCTTCTAAAGAATATGAAGAGAGAAAAAGACAGAAATGGATGAAATTTAAAACTCCTTCTGGAAATCTAAGAGAAGGATTCAAAGGTAGTACTTAAAAAAAATCCATTCAGTTAGCAAATTTCCACTTAAAAGCCCTTTTGTATGTGTACATCACAGTGCTAAAGAAACTCAATGAAAGATAATATGGACAAGTAGATCAGGATTAAATAGGTATTACTGTATTAAAACAAGCAGAAGTTTTTTTAAAACCAAAACACTATTTTAGCCTTAATACTCACTGTATTCTAGCTTCTTTCTCTTCTTTTTGTCTTTGAATAGCTCCTCTTCCTCCTTGACTCCCTCCACTCCTTCTTCCTTTTCCTCCTCTCCTAAAGTATCATAAATGACTGGATCTCGATGAACAGCTTTCCTCTGGAAATGCTTATTAGTTTTGGATCCTCCTTTAACAAGTACAACTTTTCTTTTCAAACAAGTACAGCCAAACATGCAGTCTGGTCTGCGGCAGTGAGCTGGCTGGCGCTTCTCCAAAGCGAGACTGGAACATACACAACCCAGTCGACAGAAGTCATTGTTGCACGGAGGAGCTCGCTTCCTTATGATTGTGTGAATAGGTTTATTTTTGAGAGATGCCTAAAATTAATGTAGATAATTATTATTTTACTAAATTGCCCAAAGATAGGACTTAGCCTCACGCATTTGCTCTCTAGTCTCCTATAAAATCCCAAAATAAAATGACAGAACGTAAACACAGACAGGAGACTGTGTGCAACCTCTCATTCTAATGCATGGCACAGATAAGGAGAATATTCTAATTAACCAAAGCATCAATAACCATTCCTTTTTCATGCAAATACTGTACATAATCCTTTAGATCTGGTGTTGTCAAACTAATATCCACAGGCCAAAAACTGTCTGTCTTGTAAAGAAAGTTTTCTTGGAATATAGTCAAACTTATGTATTTGCATATTATGCATTTAGCCACAGAACTAAACAGCAGAGTTGAATAACTGCAACAGGGACTGACTGTATGACCTATAAAGCCTAAACTATTTACTGCACTGCTCAGAAAAAGTTTGCTAATCTTTGTTCTAGGGTACTCATAAAAAGAGAAAATGACAGTATGTGCACAAAAGGTTTTATGAATGATTCATAATAAAGGACATATCCTGCATTTACCCCAGTAATTGATGATCTTCAGTTCTAAAATTCAGCATAGAATGAAAAACAGGGAAAGAAATGTATAAAATGTCATGATTTTAAAACATCCAACATTGCTGGTTAGTTTTATTTCACCTGACATGTACCAAAAGGCTAATAATCAAAGTATATCAATTAAATGAAAAATTTTTAATACTAAATTGACCAAGAAAAGGGTTTTTAACCTGCTTTTACCATTCTCCCCCCCGATTTAGAACATTTAAAGGGGACTTTTCAAAGTTGTTTTAACAAGATCAGCAAAAAAGTCACATGCTGGTAAATGAGAGATGCTGCCTTTGTACATGACAAAACATTATTCCAACGTGCAACTGTACTGTCTCCCTCAGCTGGCAGATGAGGTCTATCTGCATTTGACTGTCTAAACCATTAAAACTAAAACCCTGCCAACTGAGTCAATTTCAGCTTAAGGTGACCCTCCATTAGATTTCTGAGGTTATAAATAAAATAAGAGCAGACTGTCTCATTCTTTTACCACAGGGAAGTTGATGAGTCTGAAATCACCATCCTTCTGATTGCTAACCTAACACATAAGTCATTATGCCATCAGGACCCTTGTTACTTGCATGTCTTGTTAGTCAAGAAAAAGAAAAGAGAAAAAAAAAGATGACATCTTCTTATTGTGTTTCTAAATAAGACAAATACTTAAAACTTCTTTCCAAAAAACTCCACTCCAACATTGTTCACTAACCTCAATCTTTACTTCCAGGAAAAAAACTTACTTGAGCTGTAAGGAGAGTTGTTAAGGATATATCTGCTCGTTCTTCAGTGATATAGGTTCTTGGTTTTCCTTCCCAAAGAGCACAGTCTTCTAGGTCCATTAGCTTCACCTGAGTTTTAGACAGGCCTGGAGGGCGAGTTCCCAGAAGCTGCTGCTGTTGCTGTTGGTGTGCCTGCCGCAGACTGATCTGCTTTGGAAAAATATTTTCCTCTGAAGAGGACACAGCAAAGTTATTCACCTGGTTTTCTGAGATAGTGCTTGAAGAATTTTTGGTAACCCTATCTCCTGGAGAGTGTTTCTGTTTTGCTGTAACAGGATATGGTAAGATGGATTTGTAAGATGATTTACTCCGGCCACTTAAATTTGCCTGTTTGTTTTGAGATTTCACCCTTCGTGAGGGAGGAGGGACAGAATGAGGCTTCAAAGAGTAAGAGGTAGAAGGGGAAATGGCAGACTGCTTCTTTAAAACACTGTCAAGTGTCCGTACATAACTGGTACTCTTAGTGGGAAGCTGGTATACCACAGGAGATGTAGGAGCGTTGGAAGAGAAACCCATGCTTGTTTCCATCAGCTTGCCTTCATTTTCCAAGTATTCATCTAACTTGTCACTACAGAAAGCAGAACGGTTTTTTAATGAACCTTCTGAATTGCTTCCTAGAAATAAAGAGACACAAGATATTTTTAATAATCCAGGGGCGGAAATTGTAGTGATCACCTAAGTTGTCATGTCTTTTTTTAAAATCACAAATACACGTATTTGTATGGGTAGATCTTTAGGGAAAAATGCACTAAGGAAAAGCCAGGAGCACTGGATAACAATAAATCTTCTAAACTGTCTCCTTATAGGAAGAAGACAAAACACTAATCCCAGAGACCAGACTTGAGTCTCTAATACTAATTACATTAAAATCCATTCTTAAGGCCAAATTAAAATGTGAACTCATTGTATCCGTCCCTAAAATAATCAAATTACATATTTATTAACTATTTATAAGCTTTAACATATTACATAATTATGAACTGTCAAGACTACACTTAAGCAAAAATACCAGACTAAAGAATATACTTAAATCCAGACCAGAAGTCAAAAGATGTTCTAAGACATTACTCAAGAGTATGATAACAAAAAGCTGGGGAAGAGGAAAAACCCACAAGAAATATGGTTAAGTGTAGTCAAGGCTGTTCTGGCTCATAGTGGCCCAACAGAGAACAGTATAAAAATCTGCCTGATCCTGTACCATCTCATAATATCTGTGGTGTTTAAGTCTATTGTTATAGTCATGGCAACAATAGGCTACAGAATGCGAAGTGTTTCTTCTTTAAAGAGCCAAAAAAGTAAGTGTGACAGTCAAAAATTACACTCTGAAATAATACAAATATTAACACAAATTGGCAAATGTATCTTGTTAGAATGCAAACTACCAGGCTTCAGTAAAATGGCCAGCCAGTAGCCCACACCTTCCACAACTAAAATATAAAAAATAAAGATAACAAAGATAATAATCCTTAAACCCTGTTTCCTTGTCCCTCAATTCTGCTCCATATGCAAAGAATCTGTCTCATTTTCAAGTGTTTGCTGACTGTTTCACACCTAAGAGACAAGTGACTAGCCAACAGTCAGCCACTAGACTCAATGAAGGCATAGTCCGACTAGAGTCCTAGCTTCAAACTAGATACTCTTGTGTATTCTTAGCCTCACTGCACCACGTCCAGGTTCACATTATGACACTATCTGGGTATTCTACTGCACAGTTCTTGGGTATCTTTTCCCACTACCCCTTGCATATCTTGGGTTGAAAATAGAAATATAATTTGTTCCAACAATTCCACTACTGGGTGTATTATCTTAAAGAAAAAAGAGCCACAACATCAACTAGCATATGCCCACTTATGGTTTACACACATTATTTACAATAATAAAGAGATGCAATCAACACAACAGACAAATAATTAAAAATACTTTGGTACATTTATACACTGGAACACCATGGAATACTAAAGATCAAGAGAAAATTTACAAAACTGCATTGTATGGATGAATCTCGATGGCATTACGTTGAGTGACAAACTGTGTTAAGTAACCAAAGGAGAAATATTGTACAAGATCACAATTATAAAACACTAAAGAAAGGATAAGACTAGAATCATTCATGGATGGTTACCAGGGGTGGGAAGGAAATAAAAAGGCAATGAGAATTATAAATAAATAACAGTCATATAACAACATAGGTAAATGGAAAGGATATATACAATAAGGGAATGACAAGGTATTATTAATTATTAATGTTACAAAACAATGTGTAGGTATGAATGAAGAACAGAAAAAAATTTGTTAACTCACTCAAATACAACCAAAAATAAATAAAAGAAGAATGTAAACATCCAATAAGTGCAAAGAAAGGAAACTGGCTAGAAATTAGCTCAAAAGTTGAGGTTGATATATAAAGTTATCACTCATTACAAAACTCTTGAAAGTGAATATTTAAAAGTAAAGTACAGTTAATAAGGTTTTCAGAAACTATATAAACCTCATGCATATGGACTGAATCAGGGCTGTGGTTATGGGTAAATACAATAAACATAAACTGGTAAAATAATTTCTGTTCACTTTAAAGCATGGATAGATAATATGAATGAAAATTACTTTTAACAATAAAACATTTTTGTTACATATCTAAGAATACATTTTAAATTGGAGGTGGGGGAACACACTCGGTTACCTTCATTCCTAGAAGCAGAAACACTGTGAAACTTTCCCCTCCATCCTTTAATTTTGGTGAAGTCATTGGTTTTCCCTGTTCTAGAAACAAAGGAAAATCCAGCATCTGTAAGAAAAAGGTTAAAGAGAAAACCAAAAAGTAGAGCAAGTCAGTATTTATTTCAAGTTAATGATTAAAAAGTGATCTGAAATTTAGCAATCCTTTTTTATGATCACAATTATATATAAAAAAATTTTGACCATAGTGTATTTTAAAAAGTGTCTAACAGATATTTCATTTTCATCACAGAAAACTTTAATTTTATGTTTTTGTTATGTGCTGTCAAGTCGCTTGCGACTCATAGCGACCCTATGTACAACAGCCCTAAACTCTGCTCTGTCCTGTGCCAATCACACTGTCTCCCATACACTCATCCCAATTACTCCAGTCACTGAATCCACCTCACAGAGGGTGTTCCCCTCCTGCGCTGTCCCTCCACCCTACCAAGCATGATGCCCCTCTCTAAGGACTGGTCCCTCCTTACAACATGTCCAAAAAAAATGTTTTGCTTTACAAATGCTACAAACTCACCAGGAGATGCAGGATTAGTTCCTGTAAGGTTCCAGAAAGGAAGGCTAGTAGCTGGAGCCAAAGGGAGCTGTACTCCCAGGTATTTAAGATCTATGCTCATCGTTGGATCCACAGAATTCAACTTTAAGCCCACTACAAAACAAAAACATAACAAAAACTCAAAAATCATATTACTTCTCTAATGTTTCTTCTTTTTCTTTGGATGGCTAATGGTTAACAAAAATAAATAAAATTATGGAGTAGAATGAAATAGAATACATAAAGATCAATCTTCTAGGCATTAGAAAGCAGAGATAGATTGACACTGGCCACTCCAAATCAGACAATCATATGACCTATTATGTTGGAAAAGAAAAAATAAGATTTTTCAAATATACACCAAATCCAAATCCAAAGATGATGAAGCTGAAGATTTCTACCAACTTTTGCAATCTGAAATCAATCAAACATGGAATCAAGATTCATTAATAATAACTGGTGACTGTAATGGGAAAAGTGGAAAACAAAGAGGACTGTTACAGAAAATTGCTACCCTGGTGACAGAAATGAAGCTAGACATATAATGATTGTATACAATTAATAATTTATTCATTACAAATGTCTTTTACAGAAAACACCATCAGCAACTATACAAATCACAGACTACAAAAGAATCACACTGACTACATCTGCTGAAAAATCACTGACACAGAGCTACAAGAAAATTCAAACTGGATTTAGAAGCCACGTCACCAAGGGCATTATTCCTAATGTCAGATGGACCTTAGCTGGAAACTGAGAATGAAAAAGCATTTGATTGTATGGATCACAACAAATTATGGCTAATATTGTTAAGAATGGCAATCCTAAAATACTTAACTGTGTTCATGTGAACCTGTGCCAAGAAGCTGTTGTGTGAACAGAGCAAGGGAACACTTCACGGCTTAAAATTAAGAAAGGTATATATCAAGGCTGTATCATTTCTCTATACGTTTTCAATCTGTACACTGAGAAAATTATTCAAGGAGCTGGATTTTCTGAAGAAGAAGTGGCATTAGGACCAGAGAAAGACTTATCGACAATCTGTGTTATACAAATGATACAACCATGCTTACTTTAAGTGAGGACTTGAAATGTTTGCTGCAGAAAAGTGAAGACTACAGCTTTCAATATAGATTACATCTCAGCATCAAGAAAACAAAAATCCTAAACACTGCGCCAATAGGCAACATCATGGTAGATGGAGAAAAGACTGAAATTGTCAATGATTTTATCTTACTTGGATCCACAAACAACACTTGATACAAGCAGTCAGGAAATCAAAACGTGTTGTCAAAAACCTCTCCAAAGGGCTGAAGAAAAAATTTCTATTTAAAGAGTAAGGTGCACTCAATCCAAGCTATTATTGTCTTTTCAATTACATGCTATATGTCTGAAATCAGACAATAAGGAAGGATGACAGAAGAATCATCAATGTCTTTGAGTTGTGGTGCTATATGGAGGAATACTGACTATCCTATGAAAGAACAAAAGCACACACAAATTCTTGGACAAAGTGAAACCAGGATGGTCTTTGGAGGCAATGATGGAGAAACTTCACCTCATATATTTTAGGGCTACTGCTAGGATGACCAGTCCTTAGGAAAAGATATCAAGGTTGAAATGGTAGAGGATCAGCATGAGAGAACCTTCAACAAGATGGACTGACATAATGACTGAAACAATGGACTTTTTATCTGTATATAAGAGTATTTATCAGTAAAGTATACCTGAAATGATGAAGACAATAGAGAACAGAATATGGCTAAGATCCATTGTTTATAGGGTCTTTATGAGTCATGGTCAAACGGATGGTACGTAACAACATGAAGAGCAAAAATTATAAGCATAAATGGTGAAAGACAAACCTTAATTTGGTTCCCATGATTGTGGCATCTGATATTCTGTATCTGTCTAATTCTATCCCACCACTTGTGAATGACATGTTCCACATATAGACGGAAAAGATATGGAGATAGGATGCATCAATGACGCAAATCTTTGCTGATTTTGAACCATGCATTGTTTCCTTGCTCTGTTCTGAGGACTGCCTCCTGGTCCAAGCACAGGTTTCATAGGAGCACAATTATGTGTTCTAGATTCCCATTCTTCTCTAAGTTAGCCACAATTTACTGTGATCCATATAATCAAATGCCTTGGAGTAGTCAATTAAACAGACAGATACTCCTCTGGCACTTTCTGACTTCAGCGAAAATCTATCTAACATTGGCTATAATAATGTCCCTACTTCAGCGAAAATCCATCTAACAATGGCTATAATGTCCCTAGTGCCACCGGCCTCTTCTAAACCCAGCTTGCACATCTGACAGTTCTCTGTTGATACAGTTATAGTTGCTTTTGGATAATCTTCAGCAGGATCTTATTTGTGTGTGGTATTATTTGGTCATTTCCATACTGTCAAATGAGTATGTCAGTTGGCCAGAAAGATGTCCTCCAGGTATCTCTGCACAATCTGATGAGCACATCCAGTGCAGCATCTGTTTGTTGAAATATGTCAATTGGTACGCCAACAATTCCTAGGAACTTGGTTTTTTGCCAATTCTTTCAGATCAGACTACAATTTCCTCTTTTATCACCACTGGCTCTTGATCATACGTTGTTTCTTAAAATTCTTGTGTCAGCCAATTATTTTTGGTGTAGTGACTGTGTACTATTTTCTTTTGATGCTTCCTGATTGATTCAACACTCTTCCCACATCATCCTTAAGTACTGCAACTCAAGGCTTGAATCTGTTCTTCAGTTCCTTCAGTTTAAGAAATGTCGAGAAGAGTTCATCCCTTTTGATTTTCCTACTCCAGCTCTTTGCACATTTCATTATTATACTTTGCTTTGTCTTTCCGAGCTGCCCTTTGAAATCCTCTCTTAGTAACTTCTTGATTTCTTCCCTTTGTGTTGGGAGGCTGGACTTTATGAGGAGGAATATAGCACCAAAATTGGAGGAAAGCACATCAACAACCTGTGTTGTACAGGTGACACAACCTTGTTTGCTGACACAAGGAGGACATAAGATGTTTTCTGCAGAAGGTCAAGGACTATAGTCCTCAATACAGACTGAAGCTCAATTAAAAAAAAAAAAAAAGGATTCTCACCACTGGGCCAATTTGGAAGCACCACGAAAGACAGAGAAGAGATTGAAGTTGTAAACAATTTCAGATTGCTTGGTTCCACAATCAATCCACTCTTAATACCAGCAGTCAGGAAATGCAAAGATGAATTGCATTAGGAAAATTTGCTATTAGAGATCTCTCCAGGATACCTAACAGCAACAATGTCAGTCTAGAGGTTAAAGTGCGCCTGATCCAAGTCATGGTCTTTGCGATTACTTGCTATGCATCAAAGAGCTGGACAATGACTAAGGATAAAAGGGTTTTGTTTGAGTTGTGGTGCTAGAGAGAGTATTGAACATACTGTGGATTGCCAAGAGAACAAACAGGTCTGTCCTCAGGAAGTTTCACCTTTCTCTTTGGAGGCTAGGATTTTGAAGCTCCTTCTCACATACTGTGTGGGCATGTTGCCAGGAGACCAGTCCTTAGAGAAGGACATCATTCTTGGAAAGGTAGACAAACAGTGCAAGAGACCCAAGACCCTGGATGAGATGGACCGACTCGGTAACGTAACAGGGATAGGTGTCTCTGAGAGAATGAGAATGGCTCAAGATAAGGGATGTGCAACAATGAATGAATAGAAATCCAAGTTCTCTATAAACTTTCATCAGAATCTCAATTTTATTTAAAAAAAAAAAAGATAGGGCAGAGTTCATAGCTATTGTACATAGGGTTGCTATGAGTCACAGGCAACCCAACAGCACTTTAACACATCGCCGCAAATGACAGCAAATGTGTTTCTAAGCATGGTCTTCAATTTTAAAAGTGTGCGGCAATGTGTTAAAAACAACTACCATCCCATCTCTGGCTCAAAGCAGAGAATACCAGAAGAACTCTGAGTTCTGCTGATTATGCAAAGATGTATGTCTACAAAGATATCTGACTACATGGGTCATAACAAATTATGGCTAACAGAGAATGGGAATCCTAGAACATTTCATTACGTTCACTCAAAACCTAGATTAAAATACAACTATGAGATATCGTTGCACCCCAGTCAGAATAGCAAAATTTAACAGAACAGCAAGAAACAAATGCTGGCGACATTGTGGAGAAACTGGAACCCTTATTCACTCTTGGTGAAGGTGTAAAATGGTGCAACCACTGTGGAAGACGGTGTGGCGCTTTCTCAAAAAGTTACAAAGAGATACCATTTGACCCAGCAATTCCACTACTGGGAACATACCCCCAAAAGACCATAACTAACATCCACGCAGATATACGCACACCCATGTTTATCGCAGCTTTGTTCACAATAGCAAAGAGTTGGAAACAACCCAAGTGCCCATCAACAAACGAATGGATAGAGCAGCTCTGGTATATTCACACAATGGAATACTATACTGCATTGAAAAACAAGGAACTCATGCAATATTATTCAAAATGGGTGACCCTGGAGGACATTATGCTGAGTGAAGTATCTCAGTCACTAAAGGACAAATACTGCATGGTGCCACTGTTGTAAAACAGGACTGATATTGGGGTTGGGGAGGAGACTGAGAAAGATGAGTTCAATAATGTATACTGCATTAAAACAGACAAGGGAGAAAACTGTTTAAAAGGGATATATGATTAGGAATTTTTGTCATGACAGGAGTCTAGAGCGAGGGCTATATGGTGGAGTAGAGGGTTTGTAAAACAATGAAAGAATTTTTCTTTTACTTTTCCAAGTGGGTATTGTACTAGGGGGGAAGGCTGGGAGGGGAGAAAAGTGCAACAATGAATGAATGGATATCCAAAGTCTCTGTAAATTTTTACTGAAATTAATAATAAATTTAAATAAAACAAAGAAAGGGGAAAAAACCAACAAAAACAAACCTAGATTAAGAAGTGCTTGTCTGAACAGAGCAAGGGAACACTGCATGGTCTAAAATCAGGAAATGTGTGCATCAGAGCTGTATCATTACTCCAAACTTCCTCAATCTATAGGCTAAGTAAATCGCTCAAGAAGCTAGACTCAATGAGGAAGAAATTGGCATCATGATTAAA